ATAAAGATGGAATGAACCGTGAATCCTGTCTTAATTGTAAAAACTCCAGGGGTTATCTCTTGTCTTTGCTTGTTGTGTTTTTCTTCCCAAACGTTAACCCTCGATCCTCTGGGCTCTGTTCCCTTCAGCGGAGCAGAAGCGGTCGGTGACGTTCACTGAGGCCCCGCCCGAGGCTCCCCCCGCCTGCCCTGGGGACACTCTGGCTCTGGTGGCCCAGCAGGTGGGCTGTGGCCACAGCAGCCCCCCAGTGACCAGCAAGCAGGAGCCCCTCAGCAAGCCCACGCTCACCTCCTCCCCTGCCATCGTTGTCGCTGATCTCCACAGCCAGGCCACCGGCCAGGTACTGTGACTGAGAGGTTTGTGGTGTGGGTCTGTCCCCCTTGTTCCACCCGGGTCACGTGGTTACAGCACTGTAATGAAAGCTGGAAGGAGAGGGATGGCAGCAAACTCTCCTGGGTGGCTGTTTGCTGTCCCACCCCCTGCTTCTGAAAGCCATTCCCTTCTAGATCTGTGCAACTATTCCTAATTTGCAGATATATTTCCTGCATCTTCCTTTTCCATCACAGGTCCTTCTGGACCTGCTCACCAGTGCAAGCTTTCCTCAACAGGTTTTGCAGGTTATTCCCTGAGAGATGCCTCCTTAGGGAAGGACTCCTTCAAAAGCCTCAGGACTGTTTTAGCAAAAGCATCACATTGCAAAAAGGAATTGCTTGTCTAACATTTTTCTCTGTTGGACACCACTGAGGACAGTGCAGGGACAATTCCAGTCATCCCTTCAACACACCAGTAACATTGAGATCACTTCTATATGCCCAGATACCTTTTGGGGCTGTGTCCTTCATCATGAACAAAAGAAAGTCCTCTGTCTTCAGAATCACAGAATGAATCTCAGAAGGGTTTGGATTGGAAGATCATCTCATTCCAGCCCCCTGTGATGGGCAGGGACACCTTCCACTAGACCAAGCTGCCCCAAGCCCCATCAAACCTGGCCCTGAACACTTCCAGGGATGAGGCATCCACAACTTTGGGCAACCTGTGCCAAGGTCTCACCACCCTCACAGGGAAGAATTTTTTTCTAATATCTAATCTAAACCTACTCTCGGTTTGAAGCCATAAGTTAAAACAGATGAAATAAGGAAGTGTTGATGACTGAAATCAGATAACTTTTCTGATAATTTCTGCAAATTTGATTCACCAGAAAAAATATATCATTGTCAGGGGTATAATTTTAATGGGTTTATAATCTGCAAATACCTGGCCCTTTATGGTAAAATCTATTTCTGTACGAGAAAATATTTTATAGATGTTCCTTTGCTTTTTTGCCCCCTCCCTCCCACTTTCTCTCTGCCTGACCACCAGCTCTCCTCAGTTGCAGAGCGAGGCACTCTCTGCTGAGAAGGAGAAGGAAAAAGAGGAGGGCCTGGAGTCCCGGCCAACAACAGCACAGAGCACCCCACCCACCCAGCTCTCTGACACGGAGGACTATGCTGGCCTGGAGACCACCAGCTTGCTGCAGCACGGGGACACTGTCCTTCACATCAGTGAGGACAACGGGATGGAGAACCCCTTGCTGGCCACTCACTTCAGCTTCACACACGTGGAGCTTGGGGAGACGGACATCGATCTGGATGAATCCCATGTTTAACTCCTGGGGAAGTGCCATAGTGGGAGGAGGAAGAGAAAGTGCACCTTCTCCTTAGAATTCACTGCTGACTAGTAATTAATTAAAACCAAGAGCACTTTATTATCCTTATTATAAGAAAATGGCTATCAGTAGGTTGCTATAGACTGGCAAGTCTCTGTTTGTGAAATCTGTTTCAGTTCAGGGCAAGACCACAAGATAAGAGAATTTGTACTGAATTCTCGGGGTTAGGGGTGTGTAGGCAAATGTGGTCCACAGAGCCTTGATCTGGCAGCCGTGTACTGTGAGCAGCAGCCTCGTGGGTAACAGGCTGTTGGACTGTGTGAGACAGAAAAGCCTCTTCTGTGATTGTGCCCAATATTTATTTTTGTAGTGTTTTTGAGAGGGGGGGCTGTATAGCAGCTGAATCCAAGGCTCTTACACCTTGGTACTGACAGTGAAAACACTGACAGGACCAATCTAAAGCTTGATTTTCACAAGCTTGGGACCATTGTTTCTAACTTGCAGAGCAACAATAAGCACTAGGAAGCAATTAGACCCTTTTTTTTCCCTCCTTTCTGTTGGCCCTGCAGGCTTCAGTTCAGCTTACTTTTGTCTGTTAGTTTCGTCCCAGTCCGTAAGATATTGCCTTTGTGCTACAAAAATATTTGCTCTGTAAAACCGAATACAGTACATTCCATAAGCAGGAATGCACGTGCTGTGCACAGATACAGATGGGCAGGGGCTGAGTGATCTGCAGCCCACACTGTCCTGCTTAAATGTACTGAGCAATTCATCTCGACAGCTTAAAAAGAACCCCAAGAAACTGCACGGTCCCAAGCAACTGCTCCACTGATGCTTTGGATGTACTTAGATAGAAGGATTTTAAGTAAATATTTATATATGGTATTTTCATGTTCCTATATATAAAAATATAAATATATATATATATATACATTGTAAACGAAAGATGGTTATTCCAGGGCAGAAAACTTGATGAAAGAATCTATTTTTGGCATGTTGAGATTGTATTTAAAAAGGCTACATTTTATGTATGTAATGATCATGGATGCAAGTGTTAAATATGTGTATGTAACATTTACAGAAGGGGAAGATCCCGAGGGGGATCAGCTGAAGTCACAGATGAGTTATGGGCTCTGCTACAGCATCATGGAATTATACTGAAATGTGAATTTAGCCATTGGCTACTGACAGGCAAAGTGCAAACAGCTGTGAAACAAACCATGAAATCATCAGCAATGCCCAAAGTTACCCTCTGCTTTGGGAATCGTACACTGCCTTTTTCAGTTCACATTAGAAGAACTGGGGTTTATAATTGTGGCATTATTGTGCAGAGGAAAATGTTTTGGATCATCCTGAGAGTATCTAAAACACGCTAATTACCAGTTTGGCTCCTGAAGGCTTGTCATTTGGACACACACATGATAAAACGGCCTTAGGAGGGAAACGATATCCTGCCAGCCATTTCCAAAGAAAGGACTTGCATCTGTCCTTAACAACTCTGAAGTAGCTGTTAAAACACAGCCACAGGAAGAGCTGCCTCGCTGCTGTAGTGCAGCACGCAGATTTTACTGTGGCTTTGAAAATTAACCACGCACCTGGCAGCAGGTTTCAGCCTGTGGAAGCCTGTGGAGCCTCAGGCTGCACTGCCTGGCATTTGCCAAATGCTCAAATTTGACAGGAGCTGTGCACACCAGTCTGAAGACTGAACTCGCCTGCATTAAACCTCTGAAGAGAGCAAAGGCCATCTTTCTCCGAGGTGCTTAGCATGCTCTGCTGCCACTGCACTGGTGAGAGATGGAGGCTCTCAGCCCTCTTGGGAAAAGCAGGGAAGAAAAAGCAACTATTTTTATAGTGCAGCATATATATCCCAATATATATGGGGATATATAATGTACAGGTGGTGCACCAATGCAGCTCCAAAGGGTACCTGGTTTTCTAAGAGAGGTGGTTGGGTGGAGGTGGCAGTGCCCCGTTGTATGTCCTGAGCAACAAACCGCTTCCTCTGCTGACCAAAACATGCTGTACTGCTTCTTATCTCCTCAGTGCACTGGAGCCAATGCCAGGTACCTGTAGGAGACTGCTTTGGATTAGCTCCTAGCTCAGAGGTCACTCCAAGAATTGCTGAACTTCAGATGATAAGTGTTATTATTAACAGTGACGCACAAATGAGGAAAAACACAGCTTCACTTTCAAGTCCCAAGGTAGGCTGGGTCACTGGCAGTCACAGGGAGGAGAGCTTCAAACGTGGGCTGAGACACAACACACAGAGAATTCATGGTGCACTTTATGGCGCAACCTTTCCTGCTGAAAATGAGAAGGAAGGATCTTCATTAATGAAAAGTAGAGGCCTCACCACAGTACTCTATTTTAGCAATGACAAAATTACTGTGATTTGCTTCATTTAATTCAGTGTATGTAATAACTGTTTCAAGTTTCCATTGTCTCTGGTGAATCCACAGTAGTAAGCCATAGCAAGGACTAAAATGCCTATTTTTAATGTCTACCCTGCTAGAAATCAATGCAGCTTATAAATGACGTAATCTGTAATTTAGTTTTATCCAGGTGGCCGGGCAACTGGCTTTGGTTTTGTGGGATGGCTGCTGAGAGATGGCACAGACGCGCAGGCCCATTAGCCTGATTTCTCATGTTTTACTGTCATATCGGTTGCCCTTAATGCTGTCCTGATGAGGTGCATACAAAGTACTCTAGCTGGTTTGTGCTTTCCTTCGTCTCTCTGTACCAGAACTGGTGTATTTCCTCTGTGAAGACAAACGATGCTGCTTTACATAGTGTTAGAGGCCTTAAGCGCATGTCGTGTTCAGCAATGTCCGGCTGTGCCTGTCTTGTCCGTGTGTCGGTCGGTCCCGCTGCCTCAGCATTTTATGCAAACGTTGCCCCGAGGGCTAAATACAAAGGAGTGACGGCAAAGGACAGAGTTCTGTGTTTGAGCCCCTTGCGCAACTCGGGCGGTCTCTCTCTCTCTCTTTCTCTCTGAAAGGCTTCGATACGCGGTTTTGTTCCAGGATACCGACAGCATTTGTTAAAATTTACCCGTCTGCTCCCGGTGCTGGCGCAGGGGGTGCCGCTGGAAAGGTCTTTGCCCTCCCCCGTTCCAGCGTGGGGCTGGAACCGTCTTTGGGGCTGACGAAATACACTTCACTGGGAACCGCAAACCACTCAGACCAGGGTTGTTATCATTCCTCCCCTCAGTCTGGGCCCGCGGGTCGCGGTCGGGAGGGGTCCGAGCGGCTCGACCCGCCCCCTGCGGCGCCATTTGTGTCCCTCAGCGCGGGCGGAGCCGCGGCCCCGAGATGGCGGAGGCACCGCCCCGCCCCTGCCCCCGCCCGCCCGCCCCGCCCTCCGTCCCGGCAGCAGCCGCGGCCGCAGTGATGGCGTCAGGGTGCAGGATCGGGCCGTCCATCCTCAACAGCGACCTGGCGGCGCTGGGCGCCGAGTGCAGCCGCATGCTGGACTGCGGGGCTGACTACCTGCACCTGGATGTAATGGACGGGTAACGCCGGGGGCGGGCGGGACGGGACGGGGGCGCGGGGGGCGGGCCGGTCCGCCCGCCCCACCTGGCCGCCCGGGGTAACCTGCGGGCGGCCGCGTCTCTCTCTTCGGCCCCAAGACACTTCGTCCCGAACATCACCTTCGGCCACCCTGTCGTGGAGAGCCTGCGCAAGCAGCTGGGCCAGGAGCCCTTCTTCGGTAAGGGCCGGGGGCTGCGGGGCGCTGCCCCTTCGGCAGCGGGACCCGGCCCCAGCTCTCCGCTCGCTCCCCTCTTCCAGACATGCACATGATGGTGGCCAGGCCGGAGCAGTGGGTTAAGCCCATGGCAGTCGCTGGCGCGAACCAGTACACCTTCCATCTAGAAGCGACGGACAATCCCGGGGCGCTGATAAAGGACATTCGAGAGAATGGGATGAAGGTGAGGGGAGCACGGTCTGCGCTCGGCATAATGAGCCACCTTGCTGGCAGGTTCTCTGGTGACCAGTGAATCTATGTCGGGGGAAGTGTAAGTTGGATATTAGGAAAAGTTTCTTCATCCAGGGGGTGTTTGGGCAGTGGAATAGGCTCTCTGGGGAAGTGGCTATGGCCCCAAGTCTGCCAGAGCTCAAGGAGCACTTGGACAATGTTCTCAGGCATATGGTGGGATTGTTGGGGCTGTCCTGTGCAGGGCCAGGATTTGGACTCAGTGATCCTTGTGGGTCCCTTCCAGCTCAGGATATTCTGATTCCGTGATTCTATGAAAAACTAATTGTTGCCATTTCAGGTGGTCAGACATTGGCACTTGCAGCCCTAACACTCAGTGCATGAAGTCAGTCTTCAGTTTCAGTGAAGAGAATCGGGAATCTTTACCTAAACCAGCTTGTTCTTCCAGAGCTTAGACAGACACAGTTACTTTCCTAGGAGTCTGTACTGAGCTCAGGCCAGCCTTGCCATCATCCTAAGGTGCACTTGGATTTTTCTTACCTCCCCACAGGTTGGCTTGGCCATCAAGCCTGGCACTACAGTTGAACACTTGGCACCTTGGGCCAATCAGATAGACATGGCTTTGGTGATGACAGTAGAACCTGGGTTTGGAGGGCAAAAATTTATGGAAGACATGATGCCAAAGGTAAACTACGTTTCTCTTTCCTTATTTATTGAGCTAAAAGCTAACTAACAGTATGGAGTGTAGTGGTGAAGTAAATAAACCTTGTCTAGATGTGTAAGAATCTGCATGAGATGGTGGTAGCTCAGTGTGGATCTCAGTGCCCACCTTTTTATATGGTTCCCCAGGTTCAGTGGCTGAGGACACAGTTTCCCTCCTTGGATATAGAAGTGGATGGAGGAGTAGGGCCTGACACTATCCATAAGTGCGCAGAGGTAAGAGGTCGCAGCAGAGTACCGTTCTCAGTCACTGTGCTAAGACACTTGATCAGCTCCCAGAAAATGAAGCTTTGGAGGAATTTTGGCTGTTAAAAGTTTTCAGAGGGAACACACTTAGGCACCTAATATAAAAATCTACTTGGGGTCTAATCTTTTGCCTTTTCTTAATAGTGGCTACTGAAGCCTCCCCTAAGCTAGAGAAGTTGTTTGTTTCTTGTGTGTTCAGGTAAATAGGAGCAATGATGAAGAAAGAGGGGGGAAGAGCTGTCTTTTCTAAACCTAATTGGGTGTTGTAGTTGGAGGTATGTCACCTGTGTCCCAGAAGTAGCGCTTGTTTGCCACTAGCCCAGAATTCAGTACCTCCTTAAGTGCTTTACAACAGGAAAACTGTAAGCCTGTTCCACTGAATGGGTGTCCCATGTCTTTCAGGCAGGTGCCAATATGATTGTGTCTGGCAGTGCTATTATGAAGAGCGCAGACCCGAGGTCTGTGATCAATCTGCTCAGGAACGTGTGTTCAGAAGCAGCTCAGAAGCGCAGTCTGGATCGATGAGACCTGCCCAAGCCGTGTTCAAGAAGGCTCTGGGCATGCAGGAGAACCCTTGTTTCTCGTGTGCAAGGGAGGGCTGGATGAACACTAATCACAGAAGCTTGTTGCTGCTGAACAGAGGAGTCATTCCTTCACTGTGATGAAGCAAGCAGCAGTGGGAAACGTTGTGCCTGTCTTTCAGGGCTGGAAATGCAATGGTTTGAGCCTCTTGATTCTGTGGATGCTAATTTTATAGCACAAGCTCTAATGCTGACTGGATTGACTTACAGTCAGTTTTTTGCTTGCTAGAAGAGTGTAGCATTGCCACAAGCGATCTGTCTTGTGGAAGACTCTTAATCAAACTGCCTTCTGCTGTGTCTGTATTTTGTCATTTGATCTGTGCATTCCTACAAAACTTTTCCACTACTGCATTAAAATGCCCCTTCCTTGGTGCGGTAAGTCTCCTTTAAGCTGACTGTCACAAATGACTGGGTTTGGGACTAAGTTTGGGGAAAATGCAGTCATAAAAGGGCTAAAAAAAATCCCACTGCTGCCAGAAATATCCTTGTGCTTTGCCTTTATCGAACAAGTCAGTGCATCATCTTTACCAGGTCACAAAGTGGGGAATATCTTCTGTATCTTCTCATTTAGCTTTCAAATAGCCAGTTAAGACAGCAGTGTCTGAAATTCCAGGAAGCAATGAGTTTCCATGGAAGAACATTGCTTTAAAACCGTTCAGATAGCTAAAAACCTTTCTCTTGTCCCACAGCTTCCTTGGTTTATGTGCCTGAGTAAACCATTAAGGTGGTGACCTACAGAACTGATACTGCTGAAGTGATATGTAGGTTGAAATGTCTGGAGGTGGCTCTGTAAAAAACCTTGTGGAACCACAAAGTTCTCAGTCCTTCCGTTGGCTGTGCCCACTTCACAGACTGGCCTGTCTGGGCACATGAAAGGAGAGCTGCAACACACCAGAGGAAGACCTGAGCAGGCCATTTTTACATAGACCTGTCTCCCATAGCTCCACTTAGGATTGTTGACTCTTCAGTATTTTGTGGTTTTCTGCCATTTCCACAGGCCCAAAGTCGTGCTGTCCTCATAGCAAAGCTGGGCAGGTGTCACCTGGCAGCTGCTAAGGGCAGTGCTGGAGCTGCTACACCCCTTATCCTGAGCCCAGAGCCTGCAAGGTGCCCCAAAGCAAGGGCCACTGCCCTTCTTAAGGAGGAGTGAGGGCTCGTTCAAACAGTCTAGACAAGTGTCTCAAATGGCTGAACTGCATCTTTTTCCTGTGTGGTTAATTGTGGTTTAGGTGAACAAATGTTGCTTCCTGTTTCCACTTGCAACCCCATTTGGGAACTAGCAGAGTTGTCTGGACATACTGCACTGAGTGATCTTTCAGAAGAGGCTTGCCAAAAGCAGGCTTGGCTAGGAAAGGCAAGTCCAAGGTCTATTGGGTGTGTAAGAGCAGCTTAGCTGTGCTTCTAGAAAGAACCAGCATTGAGTTTAATGTACGTGCATGCACAAACAGTCACAGCTCTGGTAGGTAAAATGCAGGCTGAGCACCCACCAGCTATGAAAATGCTAGTTCAGGATGTGGAGTCTGCCTTTTCATGCTGTTGAAAGCAGTAGAACAACAGCTGTACTATCCTGGCTTCCTGCAGTTGAGTGTAAACTGGATTGAAAGCGTAATCAAAGTATTTCTGCTTTTTATCCTAAATAATGTGGGGGGAACACCCAAGTTGTGCTAGTTAATTAATGGTACTAGGTTTTGTGGAACCTTGTGATATGCTTTCACAGGTTGTAGCCATGTCTTCATCATTGTTTTAAAGCTGGCAGTTTGCACTTGTGTTGACTCTCAGGTTAGGAGTCTTGTGGGAGAGAGATATTACACATACAGGGTATAATTACTTAATTGCTTCTGAGTCCCACCCAGATGGGTTTATGCAGCTGGCTCCTGCTGCAGCAGCTTTTACACATCTCAGGTTAAAGCTGTTAGTGACCACATTCATGGAATAACAGTAATGAATGATTCTTGAATGTCCTTTAATGCTTAAATCTGTTTCAAGTTTCTTTCCTCTGTACATTTACAGAAGTAATCTGTTCGGGTCTGCTCAGGCCTGCCCTCCTGCTTGCATGGTCTCCCTGGAGCCAAATGAACCCCAGGCCCATTAGGTTGCAGAGCTCTGTTAAGGGAGAGCACAGCCTGGTGGTATTGAGGCACATGGTCTAGAGCAGTCCAGGGGGTCTGACAGCACAGGTCTGTCTGTACTGGAAAACAGGATGAAAGCAACTCTGACAGAGCCAAGTCAGGCTGGGCTTGGACACATCCTGCAGAGGGTACACCCACAGCCCTGGGCAAGATAAAACACTGCAGGAGACACACTGGGTGTAATTTTAATAGGGTCAAGTAGTTTGTATTTGTACTTACATTCCATTAAGGTCCTGGATGCAGAGATGAAGCGTTTAAACCCTCACAGCAGGGAGCAGAACGTAAGTGGCCTTAATAAAAAATCTCAATGGCACATGGTAAATTAAGCACAGGGGAAATGCCTTTGTGCACCCCCCCTTTCTTGCTTGGGAGGGGCTTCCTGCATTACATTTAAGCTGGTATTTCACAGTCAGCCTCTGTAACACCTTCAGCCACAGCACTGGGAGCAGCACCGACAGCTGTTTTGATAGCTTAACAGCCAAAGACAAACAGGTTGGGTTTTGTTTCTGGTTTTTTTCTGTTTAAAACTTTGAAAAGGAAAGAAAACAAGAAGGGGGTTCCTACACATTTTGTGGCTTCAAGGATGAGCCTGGCCCTGAGCTCTCAGCCCACTCCCACCACCACCAGCAGCTTCCTCACAACACCAGCATTCAGGTAAAACTGAGCTGTCTGGAGGTAGGAGCCCAGTTCTGCTTGAAAAAGGGCTGCAGGCAATAAACCACTATACCAGTGCTGATTCCAGCTGCATACAGCATATGGAAAGAAAATGAAGAGGGGCTGGTCCTGGGACCACGTTAAGAAAGTTTTCTAACCCTGTCCCAGTAGTGAAATGGGGCTACTGAAAAATCAGGTGCTTCCCTGAATTTGCTCCTGGCTGGAGCAGAGACACAGTGGAGACAGAGAGGGCAGGGCATAGGTCTGCTGCAAGGTGGCAGATGAGCAGAGGTGCTGCAGGTGAGGAGCATGGCCTAAGGCTTCCCGAAAAGTATCTCGCCTGCCATGTGCACACAGCATTGCCCACCCTCCCCTGCCAGAGGGAGGGACCTCCAGCTGGGCAAGTGCTGGGGGAAAGCAAATACAGCCTGTTCCTGGCCACCCTCCCCAATGGCTCTTGCCAGGACATGCATGTGCTGCACACCTGATGGCAGAGCCCTGCATGCCACCACTGTGTGGGGCAGGCCTGTGGTGGCACTGTGAGCAGGAGGAATGGCTCTGGCACCGTGCTCTAGCTGTGCAATGCTCCGGCAGCAGCTGCTTTAGCCCTCACCTGGAATGACCCAGCAGCCACAGGATGGTTTGGCAGCCAGGATCTGAACCACCAGTGGAAGGACACTCTACAGGTCCCCAGGCTGACCAAACGGGAATCCAGCTCCTATCCTGTGGGGGGGGGGGCTGTTACCTCTTTTTTGCCCCCTTTTTAACACCCTTCCCACCCTCCAATCCAGAAAAACACCCTCCTCTCTCTCCTTCCCTTAACATACTAGATTGCATTTCCATTTCCTGCAGCACCTTCAGGACATGGAGGGCAGCTGGCTGGCTGGTTTACTTGCTGTGTCCCATTTCTTGAAGTGCAGGAACTCTTCCTACTGCCTCAGGGATCAGACAGCACAGGGAGCCCTGACCTTACAACAAAGCTGGGTGAGAGCTGGTTCGATCAGGCTTCCTAATGAATGGATAAAGGTATGGAAAAGACCTGCAAAGCATCTGAGACACGTACCTTTCAGAAACCTTTTCCCAGCAGCAGATGCTCATGCAGGGCAAGAGAGAGGGCAACATCCAGCTTAGTACTGAGGTGCTGAGGGGGCCTTTGGCCCCACAGCACCAGCACAGCCTCAGTACCACAGCAAAGCTACAGTGAATGCAAAGCCATCTGTGGGCCAAGCAGGGCTCTGTGCCAAGAGGAAGCACTGCTGCTGCTACTTCACTTCTAAAAAGCCATCAAATTCAGACTATATACAACATATATAGAAATAACTTTTAATTAAAAAACCAACCTTGCATCAAAGATTATTGTATCAGACACTGAGGCAAGATTCAAGTTTAAGACAAACCAGTGTTAAAAAAGTGTTTAAAAAAATAATCAGAATGTGCAATAAACTACAATGTAGCAATAGGTTGTAGCGTTGAAACTTTACTGAACTGTTTGCAGATGCCCAGTGTATGTATATTTGCTGTCATTTTGACCAAAAAAAAAAAATCGACACTAAAACTGGGTCATCTGTCCAGTGCCATTCCAGATATTACACGTGGAAGAAAACTGCATAAAAACACAGACTCCTATTAAACTGTCTTCAACTGTCCTACACAGAAAAACATCCTGTTGATGGATTATACCTACATTCAATGTGTAATCTTTGTTAATACCTCTTGGGATTGCAGATACATTCCAAACTATGCTATTTAGATGCAAGTTTAAACAGCTTGCCTTTGTTTCCTCACTGTGAGTGTGCTGGGAAATGAAAAATTTATCCAGAATCACAGTGGAAAGCTTTGGGGCTTTTTTTTTTATTGGTCTTCTAGACAATCATCTTTTCCTTTCCAGCTAGTCACCAAATGTTGGCATACTTATGAGACTCTTACAAGGCACTATACAGAAATTGTAACAAGACTTTAAACATATTAAAGCAAAGTATTATGAGCCTCATTAGCTGCTGAAGGACTAAGAAATAAGATGACCCAAACCACAGTATTCCAAGAGCTGCATCACTGATTTGACTCAACACCTTTCCTCCTCTCTCTCCCTCCCCACAGGCCCAAAGCAGAGACCCTACTTTCTGGGTAGCAGATACATTGACTATGGAAAAACAGTGAGCTATTTCTACCTTATTGCTTGAGGACATAGATATGAAACATGCCCCATCACTACTCAGAGCTGAGTATAGATTTTAAGCCAGATGCAAGACTTCCACATGACCTGCTTTGAACTGCTGGTTCTCACCTACCGTTACCTTACACGTGCAGTTAGAGAGACAGGTTTCTGCCCCATGGTCATGCCACAGAGGAAAGTAATCTGAGGCTATTGCTTATCCCCTCTATTTTCAAGTAGTTTTTCTGTGTTCAGTTTAAGTTGTTGGCTAAGGTAGGCAGCATCCCCTGCTGCACCAGAGTCCACTAGAACCAGAAATGCATTTGAAAACAAACAAAACAGAAAAGGATGATTATTGACAAATGTGACAATATGACAACAGACAGTGAATGGTGCCAGCAATTTATGTGTGCCCACTCGCGACACTGGGAATATTAGACTTCCAGCTTGAAATAATTACTTTCTCTTGGGGTTCAGGAAGAAGAAAGTGTTGTCTTTGGGATTTATCCTGCCTGTTACAAAGCAAGAAAGAAAATATATTATATGCAGCTAACACAAAGGTTTTGAATTGTGCTGTCATATGCTGTGTGAATGAGAGAGATTTTACCTTACACTTTTCTCCACCTTAATTGGCTTTCTTAATGAACCACATTATTCCCTGTCACCTTTGTTTACTTGTACTGTTGCTTCCCAGGCAAATGTTTTTGCAGTCTTCTGACTCTTGGGTAGATTGTTTTCTTGGTGGATGGCCATTGTCTGGCAAAGCAGTGGGTGTGCCCAGAGCGCAGGGAGAGTTGCTGGGGAAATCTGCACTTGACATTTCAGCCTCATTTGTTACTTGATCTTGGCATAGTAAAGCTTCTACCTCTTCATCTTTTAGTGGAAAAACTCGAAGTTCCCACAGCCCAGACTGAAAGGAAGCAGAAGCGTAGGAGTGAGGATGGAAAAAAAAGAGAAAGAGGGTAAAAAGGGATTTTAGTTGAGTCTGAACTGATTAGCTCTGAGCAGAATGATCTGCTATCAAGTTACAAATGAGTGTCTTTCTTTACAATGTTTGCAGGGCTCTTCAGATAAAGAATACAACACTGCTAGGCACCAGCTGGCAATGTAAGCTGGCTACATAAGGGTTTGAACTATTAACAGAGCTACCATTGAATAGGCGTAGTACAGGAAGGGGGAAGCTCTTTTCCACAGTGCCAGACCCATCAGGATACCTGACCCTGTAACCATCAGGCCTGTCTGGAACCCTCACCAACATCCCTGAAAAAAGATCCAGCCTGAACCCAGTCCTGCCATATTTGCCTCAAAAACATATGCCCTGTGTAATGAGCAATGAAATTATTACCTGTTGACAGATCTTGGGGTTAATTTAAAAAGCACAGCAATCTGGTTCTAAACAGCAGCACTACGTTCAGTGCACATACACTGGGCTGACAGCCCGAGTTTCTGATCAGTGAGACAGGGGAGTATGTTCAGGTTCTTTGTTTTATGGTAGGGAGAGTCATCACTGACCTGTCCAGACCTGGAAGCTATTGGAAGCACCCACCTTCGCTTCCTGGCCCTCCCTGCAGAGTGGTGCCATCCCTGAACACACAGAGCTGTGGGCTTCCAAAGTCGGGTCGGGAGCAGGGTCAGCAGCACACTGGTCTTGGCTGTGTCGGCCGTCGGCATTTTTGCTGTAAGATCTAGTGCAGGATAAGAAACAAGTCTTAAGAACTACTCCCTGTCCCCTCACATTGCCAGGAACAGTTCAGGTTTTCTTTTCAAATTGGTCAGTTTCTCCATACACGCTACCTACTGCTTGTTTAAATCAAAAGAGCAGATGAAAACATACGTGGTTCTTGACAACCCTCTTGTCTGGAGCCAAAGTGGGAGCACTGTGTGGAGGAGCTAAGTGGACAAAACAGGGCTGGGACAGGCACACCCTGTCTGCAGACAGCTGGTGGCTGGTCACTCCTGTGCCTTGCTCCACACGCTCACCAGAACTGTGATTTTGGACAAGAGAAGTCAGTGAGCCGTGGGCTCTTTCCACTTGGGAGAACACAGCATCATGTGCAGGAGCCTGCAGTCTCCAAACTGCACCGTCAGCAGTCTGAGCCAATGCAACTTGAGAGGCAGCAGCAGGTCCTTGGGCTCCCCCTTCTCTCCTCTGCTCTGGACTCAACTCCAAAGCAATCAAGAATTAAACAGGATTAAAAATTTTGACCTTGCCTTTAATACAAATTTGTACTAGATATAAAACAGTGGCACGCATCTGAAATGCCAGGTGAAAGCCTGACCTTGCTCACATCAATGAGCACTTTTACTTCTGAATTCAAGTAGCACTAAGATTTCACCAAGAAGTTCATAGTTTCAAAATTAAGGTACATACAGAACTTTTTATTTTTCAATATACTTTCTAAAGTTGGGGTCTTTTTATGTTCAAAATTGCTTAAAATAGAATTCCTTAAGATGGTTTAGCTCTACTTTTCTCCTGCATTAAAGAAAGCTATCTTTGCATATTTATTCCTAGTGTCATGGTTCACTTTCATCCAAGAGTAGACACAAGCCTATGACAAAAAGCAGAAAATGTTAGCATTTACAGGATGCTTCAGATTCTGAAGTGATTTATGGGAATCATCTTCCCAGTGCCAAACTGCAGATACAGCTTTATGATGTTCACTCCGATATACACTATTTTTTGAAAGACTTTTAGTGGTTATATTTAATTCTGTTGAGTTCTGCACCAGATGGCAAACCTGAGAGAATGAACCATTCACACAATGACTTTTTAAAGCGTAAGGTCCCTGGCACACTCCAGGACCCCTTCAATAATGTCTGAACGCAGTGGACTTTCATCTGAGTCAGGTGAGTGAAGAAAGGCTCATGTTACTCTTGTGTGGCTGAAGTCCTAATAACTGGGAGTGGCATCAGCTACCAGAGCTCTGTCTTCAGTGAGGGAGTAAGCTATTTGTTCACTAATACCAGGTCACTGACATGCCGAATTTCTTTAAGTATGCATGTCTCAGCACTGCCTTCCCTTTCCAGCCACAAAGCCAAACATACCTGGTACTGTCCCTGATGAGTTAATTAACGAAGAGTGCCCTCGTTTTCAAACTTCTCTGTGACAGCATTTGTGACACTGCTGCACCAACAACCCAGACCAGGTTCAATAGGAAGGCTCTTATCAAAGCCAGTACACCTGCCTGCTGTTCCTCCTGGGCCAGCGGCTCTGCTCCCACAGCGACCATCTCGCACGCTCTCTTTCTTCATACTTGGTGTGACGCAAGGAAAAAGCTTCGTCGGACAGATCTTCTGCCTGTAACAAGACACAGGGAGAGCTGCTGCACTCATCATAAACATCACTAGAAACAAAGCCAGCCAGTATTATACATAATTCTGCAAAGGTCTGTTCACTCAACAATGTGAGCAACACAATGCATGCTTGCAGTATAAAGGCACACCCAAAAACGTGTTCAGCTCACAAGAGCTCTGGTATATGGGATGCTGTCACTTGCACTTTTATTTCTTTATATGTCTGAGGTTAATCTGAATGGATATAGAAATTATACCCCCCCCATGGAACTAACACATTTTTCTCTATGGTGAGAGGCAGAAAATTAAGAGGACATGTATTCATTTGCAAATCAAGGCAGTGTTAAAAGCACATAATAAAGACAAGCAAAAATTCCAGGAGTTTCCAGACACTGTTTCAGGAGGAGGCTGGGAGGCAGCAGGATTCGCCAGGTGCTCTTTAAGCACTGAGAAATAGCTCTGAGATCACCAAGGACTTCGAAAACTCCACAGAGAGAAACTCAGCAAACCTGAGGTGCCACATTCCTGCTATAAAACCAAGCAGAAAATGGCTTCTGCTTTGAAGAGACTATTTCTTAGCCAATGGTTTGCATGACCCCAGTACAGCTTAAACCAGCCCTAACACAAGTACTTTACCTGCTCGTAGTCAAACAAGAGCCAGCTTTTCAGGTAAAATATGCAGTTATTGCACCAGACCTTCACTGCCACCTTTGTTTCTCTGCTGGCAGCACACCAGGAAGTCTGTTCCTTAGCCAGGGCTGGGCGAGGAGCACTTTGCTGCCCTTCTGCCCTTCCCCCTCGTTCCCCTGATAGAAAGGCGAGCTCTTGGCTGGACCCCTTCAGCACAGCTCACAGTTATTTCAAAGTGCTCCAAACCATTCAAAGTTCAGCTAAAAAGCTGAGGTTGGCAAGAGCATACAAGTGCTGCAGCCATGGATTTTATGTCAGCCACTCCCAACTCAAAAGCAGAGAAATTCTAGGAAAGAACAATTCCTGTCCATAGGAGCTGTGAAGCTGCATAGCCAGATCAGTCCTGGACAAGAATTATACTAATAAGTGGGGGACCATGGAAAATAAACTGATTTTTTTTTCTATAAAGGAAAATCCTCAGTGGTCTTATACAAGTAACACTATTTATCTTCTGATTGAGCCTGACAAAACACAGAACTGAATGCACAGTCCTCACTGCAGTGCCAGGTAGTGCCAGAGGTGACACTGGCAGCTGCAGTGCTCCCCTCTGGACAGCTCTCGGCCCAGAGGTAGTTCACTGCCATTATGGGTACAACAGCAAAGCATTACAATGAATGAAAAGCATCCAAAAGCCTTCAGTGCAATGAGAATCGGCTTCAGGACCTGCAGGTAAAACTGTGGCTGCCCAGCTCCTCCTCAGCACTCAACAGGAAGCTTCAGACAAACAGGCCTGCTTTGTTTGGCCATCTCATGATGCCTTGCTGAAGGCTCCTCATTGCTTTTATTTATTTATGTTAAACACAAACCACATTGTTAGCTGCTGGTTTCCTTTCATGCAAGTCAACTTAGTGGGTTTCCTCCTCTCTCTGGAATTCACCAGCTCTGTCACTTGGATGGCATCGGAACCAGGCTGCATCTCAGTTCACACTTTGTCTTTCCAAGGTCAATGATGTATAGCGTGAAAGTGAGAATTTTATGAACTACAAAAGTGTTACTCCCTCAAGGAAAATTCGGGATTTTTCTGTGTGCTCAGATTTCCTTTGAAGTGGAAACAAAAGATAATTCTGAAAGAAAAACTTAAGACTTGGAAAATAATTTTCTTTGCAAATTGCCAAAACTTTTCATTCTGGGAAGAAACTTCATTTTTAACAAGCTTCCTTTCAAAAATCCAAGTCCATATTCCTTTTTTAAGTGAAGAGTTTTGAAAAATACAAAAATAAGCCTTACTGTTCCTTTCATAGCTAGTGATAGCAGATTAAACTACTTGTTTGTTTAAAAAGAGTTCTACATTATTCCATTGAAGACTACATTTTCTTATTTAAAAATTTTTCTTTATTCTATGGATAAAAGTCTCATGACATCAGAGTAAAAGGTCTCTGCTTGGTTCAGTACAGCCTCTGCCCCTCCCCAGCTTTGTAATGCTTTATGTACTTTACCAACTTTAGGTTAATTTAAAGTTGCTGTAACATGAGAAATTTGGGATATTTTTCCCCACTAAAGTTAGTTTGAAAAAGGAAAAAAAGAAATGCCAGTCCTCAGTGGACGGATCTGGCAGTGATGTTGAGACAAAAGGCAATGGGGAAGGCCTGTTTGTGAGACATGTCCAATGATTTCACTCAAAGAAAAAGACTTAAAGCAAACTATGGTTTGGATCCCCCCATCGCACTACAAGACACTGTGCATTAATGCTGAATAGCAGCAGGAATATTTCTGAAATATTCTGTTCTCAAAACAACAAAAATCTGTGTTTCACTCTTTGGCTCCACAGGGAACACTGAGTCATAGGCCACGAAAACACTTACGCAAAACTAACTGCACACAGAATTATTCCAAAGTATTTGTCGTTACTCAAACAACTACAAAATAAACTTGAATGTTACAACTGTGCCTTTCCAGAACTTTAACCTGGATAAAACAAATTAAAACCAAAATAAAACAGGAAGACTCGTGCCACACCCTCCCATGCATTAAAGCAATAACAGACTGCAAATTCACACATGCAAACCAGGAAACTCAAATGCTCTATTTCCAGAAACTCAAGTATTTTTAGAGCAACTAATAGAGCAGACATAGATAGTATACTGATTAACTTTTGCATTGCCAATTTTATCCTTGTAAGCCTAAATTTCCAGAAACAAAAATGCACCCAAAGAAGGTAAGCTTTTTATACTCAAATAAAGGCTTTTTATACTCAAATATGGTGAATAGGCTTGATTCCCAGAAAGTGCTCAGTTTCCATCCTTGGAAGTGTGGCTCCTGTGGAAGATGACAAATTTTTTTGTAACTCATGGAAACTGAGTGCAAGTCTGTTGCATGGATAGGGGTTGTTGCACTGAAAGCCTTTAAATAAAAAAGAGAGAGAAGAGAAAGAGGAAGGAAAAAAAAGTTATCCAGTGGCAGAAATCCCTGACTGCTGCTTGACACAAGGACAACTCCAGAAGTTTTCAATTTAGCTATGCAGAAGATAGCCAGAAAAGAATCTATTATATAATGCCACCACAGGCTACTATGCAGTAAAATAAAGAAAAAGAGTATTTTATATAAAAGCAGAAAAAGTAGATTTTGCCTTCCCTTTTCCTGCATGAATGACCTACTTCAGCACAAGGAGAAGTTTCAAGCGTGTCAAGAGCGTGAGTGCAGAAAATGCAAACAGGTAATGGTGCTGTTTCCCTGTGTCTTTTCACAAGCTTACACGGCAACAAATGTAACTCGGCTCAAAGCTGAAGCAAAGGAAGTGGAAGAATTATGATCAATCACCTTTTCTCAGTACTCTGAAAAACATCCAAACCAATTAACATGATCCCAAAAGAAAGGGGGAAATCGGCTGAACAATATCTGTAGCATTTTTTTCTTGTCCCTTCTAATTCTACCCAGTAGCACAAACAACACAGATACAGTGGGCCACAGCAGGAGGCAAAGCTGCTTTATTGTTAACTCAAGTTATTTCCTGGCCAGAGGATGAATCATACTAGATCAATGAGTCATGTCAAACACAGATGTACTGGGAGGGCTACTAAATGAGTGATTGGCCCATGAGCTTCAGAGAGACACCTTGAAGTCCCTTCAGCAAAATACACTTAAAGCACAAGACAAGTCATCTCTGTGGGATATGAAATCTAAACAAGAAACCCACTGACTCCTCCAAGCAAGTCCCTGGAAGCCCTGAAGGCAAACTGGTGTTGAAATTCTTCCATCCCTCATTCTGCCAGATACCAGAACAAAGAGAGAGTAATGAACAGTAGATGCTCAAGGGACAGTGTGCCCTTGCTGCCTTATTAGTTATTCTCTGAATGGTTTAATTAAATATCCTTGCAGGAGAGTTCTCCTGAGCATGTAACTTGACCTTCTCGGTACAAAGGAAGATCAGGCATGTTTCCTGCTGGCTGAGGAGGTAGCAGCCCAAAAGTCAGTGGGTGGAGGTGACATAAATCTGACCACCAGGTTTCACAAGAATTTCTCAACTGCATTGGAAAAGGCGGGGACAGAGTAAGCTTTTCTCTTCCTTCCAACCAAAGAGCATGCTGCCAATAAGTGCAACTACACCAGGTAAGGAACTGAGGCCATGATGCTCTCCTAGAGGTTCATTTCCATGGAGCAGGAAGCTACAGACCTAGCAAAACTGTCATGAAGCTAATGCCTTTGTGCAGAGTGTATTTTCTACCCCAGTTGTAGAGATTCTCTGAAATAGGAGCTCAAGAACAGATACTGTGGATGAGAGCACAAAGTTCTACAGTTACAGCTGGTGATAGTGGCAGAGACTGGAGGGAGATTAGAGATGCTTAAAGGACAGCAAAACTGGCAGGTTTCTGGAAAAGGAGCTACAAAAAGATTGGAAGGACAAAAAACCAGCCTAGAGACCAGACCTGCTGCTATGTTCACCCTAAGGTTACAAAATGCCTCAAACCCCTGATTAGGGAAGAAAGAGACCCTCAGCTGCAAAGTCCATGGACATTCCCTGAAGAAAAAGTAGATTCTTATGTCTGGAGGAAGCAACAGTACTGCATGATGTGCAAACTTAGCTCAAAAGGCAGGTGGGAACTACTGAAGGTTATGTTGTTCCTGACAAAGCAGAAAAGTTTCCTCCCAACAGAAGGGTTGCAGGAAAACAAACACTGAGAAGAAAACTGAATAAACTTGTTGGACCTATAGGCAGGATGCCTGATTACCATCTGAAGAGCAACATGCCATGGGAAGTGGCCACGCAGGGAGAGGATGAGAGAAAAGAACAGCATTATAGCACAGGTAGCCCCGAGGAGACAGACATTGGATGAGCCAGCATGACAGTGCTCAGGAGCAGGGAAGGCAGAGGCTGGACCCAAGGGACCCTTTGGGCCTGCTGACTGTGCAGCAGTAAGGGACAGGCAAATTTTCACAATCTGATGCTTAATAATTTATTTCTGAAACGTGAAACTTACCGGGATTTGCATGAAGTCAGTGATTTCACAAAGTATGTACCAATTATCCCAATTATATATTATATCTAGCTTAAATAAAAACTGGTGGTTTAATTAAAATTACAGCCTACCTCTTCTTCATCTGTATGTGATTTTTCTAAAGGTTGAAGTTCAACAACTCTCCAGCTAGAAATGAGACAAGGAAAATCAAATTAATTTACCTAAATGCTGTTTCATTATTTCAGCAGTAGAGATGACTCTTTTGATTCTACAGTATATTGTTAGTTAATCCTTTTTCACCACTGCTTGTGTTTCAGAATTTCCTTCAAATAAAATAATTTCACAAATTTAAGGTGCTGATAAAAATGCCTGAAATTTAAATTTTCCTTTCACAACTCAGTATCTAACATTTCCTTTTCCCAACACAGTCTTTAAGCTACCCAACAGAGTCTTAATGATATTTTTAGCTTTAAAGGCAATATAAAAGCAATTACATATTAGAGATTTAAAATACAGAACAAGTGCATTTAGCCAATTTCAGGGAATTTGCTAGTAAGCCACTGAATTATAGCATTGGAGATCAATTACCTCGTGTTCTTTTTCTGAAACAAACAAACAAAATGTCTCTAGAATGAGGGATTATAGGCTTACACTGTATGGAAAAAAATAAGTTTATTCTACTGTATCAGAATATCTGAATTTAAAAAATATATGCTAAATCCATTTTGTTTCATTCACTGGAAACAGCAAACTATTTTCTTAGGAACACACAAAAAAGACAGCAACCTCCAAATAACCATTCAGAGTCGGTCAGCTTTATGGCACATTTAAGGCCATGAGTATCACTATAATTCAGATGATATAAACCCACTTCTGTTTTTAGCCAGTCTGTGCATCTGCCACCTCCCTGTGTATATCAAACTATTTTCCATGTGCTATCAGCTGTCCAGCCTTCCCACCACTTCAGTCACACAAACTGAAGTGCACAGATAAAAAAGCCTCAAGCACATGAAGAGACCATCCTAGTATTATAACATTTTCTCACGTCAAAATTCTCGCGTTTGTTTTGCGATCTTTGCAATTAAAGAGGTCGTGAGCAAACCTTGGGGTAAGGATTTCTTTGTACTGCAGTTTCTCCAGCTTCGACGGTGCCACCAGCGACATGGGAATAACAATGTTGTCTATGTCATAGGAGCTCTCACTTCTCAACCGCCTCCTGGAGTTATGCTAAATGATACAATCAGTACAAGAGGGGAGGCGTCAGCTCAAATCATAGGAAGTACACGTTAGCTGAGAAACATCAGAACTTCACAAGGAGAAAGTCTGTAACTTCAACATATTTTTTAGCGGGTTAATGACTTCCAACATCTCCCTGCCTTCAATGGAATCTCAATAAATCTTAAAACTGTCTCATTTCTGAGGTTTACTTCTTGCTAGTGTAACTTTTACTGAAATCAACATGAGTTTCTCTTCCTTGATTTCAGGTACAGTTAATTCTGAGTACTTAGGAGAACTGTGAAGTTAATGCCACCTTCTTCATGGTGTGCAGTCTACAAAGATGATCTTCTATCATCTACTAACCTGTAACTCAAGTGGTTCTTCAGTGTGATATAATTAAGAACTCCAAAAGAGAGAGAAAATTTAGTTTTAAATCATGATACATTCCATATTACAAGTTCTCCATTTTTAACTGAACTTTAATGGAAACAGACTATCCTAAAATGCCCATTTAGGTGTTCTTTGATGATGGTTGGCTCAAGGGAAAAAAAGGAGGAGTATGACTTGTCAAAACTACGTAGGGGACACACATTTAAACTCCACTCTGCATTAAAACATGACAACTTACAGAGCACCAGTATACCACTAAGCTTAGCAAAACCATGGAATTGAAATCTGAATATTATTGTGAAATTCGCCATGAATTCGGATAAAACAGACTGTTTCTGCAGGGATTTCACTGGACCAGAGCTCTGCTGTTCCTCATCAAAGTTATATACCAGAGACTTTGCCTACAGTTCTGTACAAAGTGTTTTAACTGGTGAAACTGAGAATTAATAAATTTTGTGACTGTATTTGCACCATGAGGCCATTTTATGTAGCTGCACCAAGAAAAAAGGGTCATAAGAGCCCATGTGTAAAACTGGGAACATAAATCACAGTGTATTTAACGAAATTTGGAAAAAAAAAAAAAGGCACAATGCCAATAAACCAAACTTACACTCCAGTATGATCTGCAGAACTCTTTCACAAGTAAGTATCTGTTTTAGAAACACCACATACTCAATCTGGAATCCATTAGTTGATGGATTTACTGTAAAAATGCTCAGTGCCGTAATTTAACACTAAATTAGCTGTGACAGGTGTGTGGTTTTGGATTATCAATTTGCACAATTCTCTTTTGAGATTTCAGTTGAGACAGTGGTGCATTTTTGGTTTACCTGTGAAGAAGTGCTGTGAGTGGGCCGAGACATCGTGCTGACGTTGGTCGCAGCAGCAAAACTGCTGTGGGATTCTGGCTCTCCATGTTGAAAGGAGAACGTCTCAAACCGAGTGTTACTTTCGCCTGTCACAAAAATAGCAATAAAAACATACATACCGGCTGTTGTCCATTAGAGTGCAGAATTTTTCCATACAGTAATTGTAAAGTCATTTCTAGAACCCCACAGTGAACCACTCACAATTTACTGGATACTAAAAAAAGCCATCTAAATAAACACTTGCTGCTTATCCTGTCATTGTTGTTACTACAAAACTCATCCCTCTCCTTCTACAAAGGATTTCTCCTCATGAAACCACCTTCACATGGGCAAATCCTGATTATTTTTTCAGGGTCTGCCATACACATACACACAGCGAATGCAATCAGACAGAGGAATGCTTTCCCCTGTTCCCTAGCAGCACTTCCCTATCTGGGGTGCATCTCACCAGTTCTCTGAGCCCTTACTGACAGTTTCTTCCTTAATGAATGATAAAACTGGCAGCAAGGGTAATGAACAAAATTAGCTTAGATTTCCAAACCGATAGTGGTTTCTTTTAGTTGGGGTCCACTGCTCCAGACAAATTGTAATTATTGTTTACTCCCATTCAGTCCCACTGTAAGCAGCATTTAGGGGGATTCAGAATCTAACCACCTGTTCTGCCTTCCTTCTGCCTTAATTTCCATTAAGAAAGGAGAACTCAAATTTAATGCCAACTAATAAAAAGAATCAGTGTATTCCAACGTGGAAAAAGAGGTGAGACTGATTCTAAAGACTGTATTTCACAGGCTGGGTCAAGGACATGAACTCTCATCTCCCAGGCAGCTCTGCAACTCCCTGGCACACAGCTTTTATTTTTTGCCTTGTTCATTAGGCTGATCTTCCCCATGGATAATTTCTCCTATACAGAGTCCAAATTAGGAATAAATATGTAGTACTACACCCATAGCACTAATAAGCTACAATTTGTGCTGCTATTCGAGAATACATCACAGAACAGTTTTCTGGCATTGGGAAACTATGATCCTTGTGATAACAAGATAGCTTTTTTTGTTCCATTACCTAAAAAAACCTAAATGCTATTGGCAGAAGACTAACTGTAACTTCAAAAGGTTTATAGGAAGCAGTCTGCCCTCTTACTAGAGCTCCCAAGTACCTCCAATTGTTGATCTGAGTAACTATCCTGTAATTTTCTCATGAACTGGGTGGGTTTGGCTTGGGGTTTTGTATTGTGGGTTTGGGTGGGTTTTTTTTAATCATAGATCTTAATTTTTTATTAAATCATCTCTGCAGTAATTCCCATATTTCCACCTCATACTGTAAGACTACACTAGCAGTTTTACCTGGATATGCATCAGAAGTTTATTTTTTTGCAATGTTAGCTGATCATTTATACCTTTTCATTCTTTTTAGTTTAATAGTTTCTTGTCTTGCTCAGTGACTTATTGTCTTCAAATGTCTTGTGAGCAAATTTGCCAAAAGTTTTCCAAAAGTCACATAAATGAATCAGTAACAAGATCTGTTACACTTCACATTCTAACAGCCTGGAGAGGGTAAGATGCCATTTATCCTTCAGTGGTACACTGAATTTTTTATCCCTAATTTATCACACTACTCTACAGAACTTTGAGGGCACTTCCTATTAATTTACCAAGTGCTGAAGTAAAGATTCAATGGCTTAAAATATAATGATAACAGGAGTGAAAACAGAATAAGCAGTGGCTATCCACAAGTCCTCTTCTGGTTCTGGAAGGAATCCAGAACCAGAAGTGACAGTACACAACAAATGAAACAGGGGACCAAACATGCCAGGAATAGTAAATGTTTTGTTGGGCACATGATTTGACAGACAACTTTGCAATTCAGTCTGTTCCACTGACTACTATAAAAAAACCCCTTTCATATTAAGAATAACCCAGTATTAGAAAAACACAGTTGGACTGCTGAGCAGTTTCCTTTAAGAGTGCTCCAAAAATAAAATACAGAAGCTTGTCCTGTTGTAATATATATTCAAGAAGAAAGAGGATTACTATACTTTAAAATAGCAAATTATTTTCATGGTGTCCCAAGTTTCGTAAGAGTATCCTTTTTGGAGACAAAATTAATTCTCAAAGCCCAGTGGTTACAAACACATTTATACAGTACATATTTTAAAAGAGTTAGTGTCTTCTTGCACTTCTCTTACCTACTGCTGTCTCACTTAGGTGTCTTTTCTTTCTTCCTTCTGACAGCTGATCGGATGTTCTTGACACCAACTGAGATTTGGAAACAGATAAACAGCCACTGTTCCATTGTTTGACAGAAACATGATGCTGATTATAGTCTACAACAAAAAAAGCACGTATCAAATAAAAAACTTATTTTCCACTGACGCAATTTGCAGGAAATCTCAACTGGTAAACTATTTATAATGGAAAAAAAAAAACAACACCAAAACTTATGATAGGAATCCCAATAGTGAACAGCACTTCAGTCAGGCACCTGGCCCAAACTCCCCCACTTGCTATTAGTGCCCTCCTACGGTTCTGGTGGGATCATCTCAGTGCAACAAAGGAGAACCTGACACTGTGGTCTGGGAAGAGATTCCTCTTCCACCTAAAGAAGAGGTGGAAGCCTTAATCGGTTACCTTCTTTGATAACCTGCTTTGTGCTAAATTTATAAACTGAACCTCTTCATGGAAGAAATTACTGACAAATGAACAGAAAATGGTCTTGCCAATACTAAAATATGTTGCTTTACATACCACTGTCAGAGGACACTTTAAACTCCCCTCCCAAAGATGAGGTATCAACAGGTTCTCCTTTGATGTCATCCTTCCTTAATAATGTTTCAAAGTATACGTGAAGAGGAATATCTAAAAAATCAAAAATCCAAATGGAAGAGGGTCAGTATTAGAAATATGGCAACCTCTGAGCCAATGTATTATCCATCATCACTAAAGGTCTAGGAATTGATTCACCCAACACAGTGCAATATAATCCATGAGCAGTGCTGAGTGACACACGCTCTGGAAGGTACTGAGTGAGAATAAGCCTGGGCTCTTCCCCTCCTGATGAACTCCTGCACAAGACCCAGCACAGCAGAGAGCATACAGGGAGCTTTTCCAGGAATCTGCAGAGGCTTCAGTTCAGCCTTTTGGGTACAAGTCATTAGTCATTAATGCTTTTGGAAATTGTTACTGCCGGGAGCCTAGAGGTAATTTCAAGGTACATTCCTTCTCTCTCTCCCTGAAAAGGTTACAGCAGGGCAAGGCAATTCATTTCCTGATGGGAGCTCTAACCCAGAATTAGCCTGCAAAACATCTCAAGTGGTAAGGAATTTACCCCCTGTTGTAAGGCAGGAAGGCTTAAGAAAAATAAGTCTCTCTGAAAAGCCTTTCTGGGAAAAAAAAATAAATTACAAGAACGAAGAGAAATTAAATAGGAAAAAAAAAAGTCAGTGTAAGAAGCCAGCTTGACAGCTAGTATATTCAGAATGAGAAGAGGACCAAGGGCAGCATCCAAGGGGGGGCCTTAAATTACTTATATTTACACACAATCTCAGCCTCATGTGCCTTCAAGGTGAGCCAGGAGAGAAACTTTCAACATATTTTGCTAAAAAGAACAATTTATTTCAATTTGATATGGATCTATCTAGGTATTCTGTCATAACACCTCAAGGATCTTGCCGTGTTTCCTATTCTACTTCCAAGTAAAACATAAAGAAGGTCTTCAAAGGTGTATTAGTCACAAAATTTAAGTAAAGAATTAACCAGAACATTTCTCCTGCTTTGGTTTGGGTTTTTTTGGTTTGGTCTTTTTTCACCTGAGGAACAACCTGTATGTTTCAGAGATTTTTTATTTTGTGCTCCTCTATCTTAATCAAAAGGGCAGGAGTGCTTGTCTCAGTTTATCTACAGGCTAGGTGCAGAAATACCAGAAGCCCAAGCTTCTTAAACACAAACTACAATTCTCCAGTTATCAAGGTGCAAGTTTAAACAGGTGCTTTTGTGTTCAAGGGACACTGCAACCACTGATGTATTTTTGGACAAGATCCTTGGTCATTTGGAAACTGTGAAGGCAAGACTTAGACCTATGGGCAGCTCTGCTTCCAGAAGTGAGCCAGTCCCTCTACCCTATTTGCTAGGTTGTCTGCAAATTATGATTCACCTTTGAAAGCAAAATACAAGAAAAGACAACGTGAGAGAACTACATCTGAATCTTGAATCCCTCTCTGCACACTAAAAAATCAAACACTAGAGTTCCAAAACAAAACAAAGGCCAATAATACATTTTTAGCACAAAGAGAAAACTAAAATAAACCCCTTTTCCTTTACTCTGCTGGCGCTTTTGGGGTTTTTTATATATAAAGATGTGGGCACAGCACAAGCAGTATTTTAAGAGAAGTTATTTCTCTGGAAGGGGGTAACCAAGAAAGCTGCAAAGAAAACATGAAACTGAACCAGGCTACAACTTGGAAAATTTCTACCATGCATTTATTCACAGTAATTCTTTCACATGAAAGAAAATGACAAACAGACTAGTGGTCTTTATGAGGAGGTAGAGACAGCAAAGCACACAAAGCACTGAGTAAAGCATGAATCTGGAAACAGGATTTTCTTAAAACAAAAAAATCACAAAAAACTCAATAGGATGAATCACTTGTGCTGATAGCAGCATTTATTATTCCATTTTGAAGTCCCAACTGCTGTTGGGTTGCACCTGCACTAACTTCACAGCTGAGCCACAGACATCACATGCATTATTGTCCAAAAAGACTAAAGAATCAGATGATAGAAATCATAAACTTTGAAGATCACCAAAAATGCTGATTATCACAAAAACAATTAGAAAACCTAAAAAAGGCTTTTTAAAACTAGTACAAAGGGCCTGAACAGAAAGTTGCTTATGAAAACAACACAACTAAGATATGGTAGTGTGTTGGTAACAGCACCATCTCTAAAGGACTAACACTGACTCAATTAGACACACCATGAAACACCCAAACCCACCTTTTTCCTGGCCAGTCTTTCTAGGTTGTAAGAGCATTGCTGGTATAGGAAACCTAGGTGGTGTGCTTTTCAAAAGTTAGGATGAAGTTCAGATTTGTAGTCTAAACTCATGTATTTTGACAGTGTGAGGTTTTCTATTAAGAAAACTAAGTTCTAAAAATCACTCAAAAGACAAGTTAGTCCTTAACCTCTACAGCTGTCACAAGCACAACCACCCTGCTGTAGTCATGGCATTACTTACCAGAAGGGAATGATAAGACTGGATGGAAGGAAGAGTCCAGCTCTTGCACGTAATCTAGGATTTTAGATTCTGTGCTGTACTCATTGCTGGTCAAAGTGGAGGCCGGCACCACATATGGCAACTGAGTTTTACATGGAAAGGAGGCATCTCTACATGGCAGAGTCTGCAAGAATACATAGAAACAAAGTTTAACTTCTCATTTACTCATGTACTTCAAATTAGACCAGAAGAGGAAAAAACCCCAACAAACTAACAACTCAGTGAGTGACATCCTTTAACATGTGAATGGTAGAAGTATTCCTACAAACTTCAGATAGTCTAAGTGTGACTTACCTCCACTTATCGTGGACCATGGTGTAGGATACAAAGAATACAAAAACCCCCTTCAATTAGGGGCAGGAAACAGCTGTCAAAGCTTTCAGAGAAAACGTAACTGTTTCTAATCCTTATTTTGATCTATCCTATGACAAATCAATACTCTTTAAAATTTAATTCCAGCACAACAGGCAAGATAGAGAGCACAAACAAACCTAACACGAGACTAAATAGAAGGGTCTCCTTTGTTTATCCCCTCAGTCACATTTTTCCTATCAATATCTCTAGACAGTTTGAGCTCATCCATTTTAATGTAAACAACTATATTTAACATTTTAAGCACACCATGAACTTACACAAAACAAGAGGGCAAAGTCTTCACCTTGTTACAATTTAAACATCAGGTAAGGAACATAAACAAAAGAAGACACACAGCAATAAATACAGAGAGGGACGCACTGAGGATTGATTAATAGGTAGTAAGGGGAATTACTAGAAAGAGGAGAACTGCAAAGAAAGATTAATTTAGCTGCTTATTTGTGAGGCTTGGTCAAGTATGGAAGGTAAAATGATGGGTGGCACAGAACTGGTAGGTGTGAGATAACGGGACTGAGACAGAAGGTGAAAATGGGCAGGAGTAAGCATCAGAGCGCAGGCCATATACTGAGCTCTGAAAGACAGAAGGAAAGAACTGAATTTGATGCTACAAGAAAGCAGCAAACAGTCAAGTCTGTGCTTCAGCATATGCTACAGAAGTCCTGCAGGGAAATAATACTGCTGATGGTACTTTAAGTCTTATTGGATAGCAGTGGTAGTAATCCCCCAAATACTGACATTTTAAGGGTTTCTATAGGTCTTTGATACTTTGCCAAATGTTGCAGATCCTACAAACAGCAAGGGAGAGAAGTGGGTACTTCAAGGGTCTCAGCCTATCACTGTGCAAACAGTCACATTTATCATCTCCTGGAAAACAGTTCCAGTGTAAAAAACTGTAAGAATGAATATAACATTTTCTTATGACTTTTTATAAAAGGAGACATCTAGCAGCTGCATCAAAGGCAAGAACATCAATGAACATGACTTATATTTTCAGTACTGCTGCTTTTTGAATCCAAGAAATCTCTTCAGCTGCTTTCTCCTGCCTGAAATATTCCAGGCTGTTTTCTAGCAGTGCCACTCATGTGTTAGTGATGCAGTGATTATATCCACCACATAAAATCCCCCTCCACTTACTGAAATCAGTCCTTCTGTCAGATGGCATCAGTGTTCACAACCCACACTATCTTAGAAAATATTCCACTAAAAAGTTCCTGTTTCCATCTCTTCCCTTCTTCTCAGTCAACAAATTCCCAACACTGCTACTGTATCTCAGAAACTATTAAAATCAAGCAAGGATGTTGTAATGCTGTGATGGTGGTGAGGTTCTCGTATTTAACTTTTTTCCCCCCACAAGGGAACACTAACAGACCTAAATCCACTTTGATCTCCATACACAGGTCTGTACACAAGTACTTTCAACTTAACCTGGAAAGAATTCTTTTCTAGCCCAGGACTCCTTCAAATCAATGTTGTGTTATTCTCCTGTGAGGAACATATGGGACTCTTCATCTGTTAAACTTTAAACATCCATAAAGTGCTAGCAGAACTGGGACCTGTGTTTGGAAACACTAGAGGGATAAATGCTGAAGTGAGTTTAATGTTTCCCATTATATGGACCATTAAACTCAAGCTTAAAGAGCTTTTAAGTAGTTGCTCTACCTCCATGCACTAAGGGCTTGCTTTTCAAAAATGCACAAAAGCATATTTCCTCTTCATATTTGGTTTTTAGAAATGAAGTAGCTTCCTGAAACTCCACTATTTAAGCTGCAACTGCACCACTTCTGCTTGTCCTTTTTTTACAGAAATGAATCCACATTGCAGTAAATAAATCTCTCATTCTTTAAAAAGAAATCCCCGAATACTAATTAGTAAAATTACCTAGAAAATATATAGATAAGACCATCACATTCTGACATCCAGTTCTATAGTCCTGACTCACTTTTTCTTGCTTTAGTTCACTCTAGCCACAAACACATTTAGATTATAGCTTAAAACTCAGCCTGCTCAAAAACATGGTCAAACAACCTCCACAGTCACAATCTATTTTGAAACTGTATTAAAATCCATCTGCCAATTTTGGTAAATGCAAAATTCTTTTCTTCAACTTGCCTGTGGTGGGAATTATAAAACCTCATCCGTGAATTTGTGCATTAGTGCCTCAAATGCTCTGGCACCAACATCTAAGTAATGAAATCTTTCATTAAGCTAATTCGTAATCCAAAGAAAATAAGGACTTCTATAGAAGTAAGAGCAATTTTATTTAAATGCCTGTGAGGCTATTAGAAAAAAAAAGCTAAAAAACCTGGTAGTGTCTGTGTTCCTAGCTACCAGATCTGGTTTAAGTTTCTGATGGAGTAGTTTTCCACTGGAAAAAGCTGAATTAGTGATGTTTGTCAGGAATGTCAACTTAATCAACTCTTGAGGAAAAAATTTCAGAACCCCTTGGCTCTGGAATTAAAGTGTGTCATTCAAAGAAAGTGCTTCAACCTTACTGAAACAAAACTGAAGATCTGTTTACTGGAAAGCTAAACTCTCCCTGCTTCCAATTCCGAGTAGAACACAGTCTACAACCGAGCTGCCTTTTACAGCAGTAAATTATCAATTCTTTAACACGACAAAAAAATCCACCACACCCCAACTGAAAACAAGCCCATAAATACATCCATGCATCAACAGCAATGACAAGGGGTTTCAGGAAGACCATGGCACACAGCTTTTACAAGACAGGCCCCTGTAGCAAGCCTGACCACAATGTCAACTCTTCAGAAAGCAAGATTACTAAACTCTTATCAATTTTTCTGCTGCTCTACTATACCTTGTACATCTCCTGGAGCATTTTTCTTCACTACAGAAATACAAAATCTCATGCTTCCTGAGCTCAAGCAGATATGAATCATAATATTACATTAAATTAATTCTATTAAGGAAAACATATTGTATTTAAGAGGAAATCAGGAGTGTGCAAGCTTTAAATATTCAACTAAAAGAGCATTCTGGTTTAAACTTCATAAGGAATGGTGTCAATCAACAGAATCTAATTTTCTAGAATATTATGAATTCTAAACTTGGATTTTTTTCCCTCATAGTGCTGTTTTACTGAGTTACAGAAAATACAGTAAGCAAATAATTTTGATATTCAAAACAATTCTCGCACTTCTTTGTGATAAAGTGATGCACTAGACAAAGCACAACTGGCTCATGACTCTGTTACAGAAGGGTCAGAAAGCTGAACACTACTGGCCACCCAAACTTCTGCAGAGAAAAAAGTGTGAGTCTATGAAGTGTGCCATAATTGAAAAGAAATATATTTTGTGCTCCCTTATAAAATTCTGAAGTGAATACTCATTTTATGGTTTCAGCTACGGATCACTAAAACTCCTACCATTTCTGGAGACATGCCTAAATGTAACAGTACACAGACACAGTTCAATTATGCTACTGTGTATGAATCCAGTAAGTTAATTAAGTTTGCACAAATACACCCTGCTGAATACCTGTCATGTCTGCTCCTGATTATTCTTATTAAGCCCAGAAAGGCAAGGAAAATGCATTTATTCTACCTACAAACACACCCTCAGAACTTTTCAGCAACATCAAAGAAGAGCTATCCCCCTCAATATCAAAAACTGTTCTTTAAATGGGTAGCCAGCTAAACTGCAGAGATTTAATTATGGGATTCAAGAGAACCACTGTGTGTATGGGTCATGACTCATTTTAAATATCAGACACACCAAGTTTTAATCCTATTACCTCTCTGCTTCAGTGCTTCAGCATCTCCCTTAAAGGCCAGCCCACTGCTCCATTGCCTTTGTCTTCTGCACTCAACAACCTGCTCTGAGCAGAGCTATGACCCTCTGGCAGAACATAAGAGTTCCATGAAACCTCTTTTAATCACAAGATAAACGTGCAGGACTTCACTGCAGAGTGCTTTGGGGCAACACACAACACATGGGCAGTGAAAGGTTAATTTGAAAGCCTCAAAGACCTTCTCTCTTATCAACATGTAATGGGAGAGAAGGTGGGCAAAGCATCTAAGACACCCTTACATGGGAAGGTGCACAACAGATGGTGCTGACACATGCACACCGTACAACAGACTCTCCCTTTCAGATGAAGTTTCTACAGATGTCAGATGGACAGACCTTTCCCGTGCAGGTTAGGTACAGGGAAGCAAGCTGCCCTGAGATGTAAATGAATTCATCTACCTCTGGTCCCTCTGAAGCTGTCAATAAGGATAAAGTGGCAGATCCTATGGCAGAAACCAGTTTTTCCAGGTGGAGAAGTCTCTTTCCATAAAACACTAATGACAACTTACTCAGCATCCAGCTTGCCTCAAATTCAGATTTTTGGACAGTGTCCTAAAAGGACTTATAGCTTCTACCATTCTCAGAGACCACCCACCTCTCCTAAATATACATGGAGTTTAGCTTCTTTAATCCTGCTACAAGCCAATGGGAGACTTTCACCTGCTTTGTAGGAAGTGCACGCTGTCCTCTGCATCCCGAAACAAAGACCTTTAGTTCAACTAGCAAATCAATTGAAAAATCAAGGCTAATGCTTAATCTTTGATCAGTTTAACTAAAAGAAGGAAAGACATGTTAATCCACAGGGATATCTTCTCAAAAATGCCACACAGAAATTAAGAGTTGATGTGATCAGTAAAACATTACAGAACTGTCATAATAAGCTAGAGGTGTAGGACTGTGGAAAGCACACAGGTTTTTCATTCTGAAAAAAAAGAATTCACAGGCTGACTGGTCTGCCACAAACCTCACAAAGGATGGATCTAGTTCCACTGCCAGTATCACAAAACTAGAGGTGCCCTTCCTGCCCACTACACTAAAGTCTTGTCACACATTCAGAATACCTGAATGCACAGGAGAACTTCTTTTCCCACTCAGGTTTCAGTGACTTTTAACCTATTTTATAGCTTCCAGTGTTAAAGTAGTTTCCACTGTTAAAGTAAGATAAAGGCTCTGCATGCTGGATAGAATACAAATTATAATAGTATGTGTGTATATATATACATACACACATACTCTTCCCTAAAAACTGAAAATTAATAATGGGAAAAGACCCATATGTATTTATCAAGTGGCATGTACAGAAAGCCTCACTGGCCCCAAGCATGCACTGGGAATGCTGCTGGACACAAAAATCATAGAACCAGCATAAGAATTAGATTAAAATAAGAAACACATACCCTAGAATTTCAATATTTTTCTCCTGTCTGTTTTGGAGCCTTCTGAAGAAGCAATGACTTTTTTTCTTTCCAAATCACTAAACAAAAGCAGATATTCTTCTGCTCTCACTTAACTCCCGTTTGAGACTGTGGAGAAAAAAATGTGGGAATATGCAACTGCAAGAGCTGGCAACATTATATCACCTGTTTTCTTGTGGTATCCAAAACATACGTTTTTGCATCTCAATTCCCAACTTTCAGGGTGCTGGCATCTTTGCAAATTTGAATTCTGTTTTTCTCCATGTGCCTCAGCCCACACAATCAAGTCTTCCTCCAGCAGGTGGAGATACAAATACAATGAGAATTTTCAGATTAAAAAAAAACCCACTGTGCTCTACAACCCTGCAAAGAAATGGACAGGCCCAAAGTTGACAGTACTCAGATCTCATTGCTCTGTTGTCTTTTAACTTCATTTATAAGGTTTTCATGGATTTTTTTGTTGTGCATGTGGATTATTCTGGGTGGCTTGTGCACTGACTCACAACTGAGAAATGGCCTAAGCTCTTACCAAGCTATTTAGATAGGGAAGAAAGATAGAAAACAGATCATCTGTGGTACTTAAGTAAATCTGAATTAGGGGACAAGTAGATTTGGCCCCGAAGGATGTTTCAAGTTCCTGAGGATATCAGATGGTGACAGATAAACCAAACACCCTGCATCCTGTTTTAATTTATTTGCAGTCTATCTTGTCAGTCTGGAAGGTCGTCTAGAGTTTCATAGCATTCTATATTTTCTTTCAGATACCACCCTGGGTAAGCAGAGCAGGTGTAGCCCTCTTCAGAAAAGAAACACAACTAAGTAGAGGACAATATAGGGCATCTCTCAACAGGCACTAGGAGGCTAATAGGTCACTACATACTCATTGTAAATGTATGTGGCATGGCAGTAGATAAGACAAAAAATGTGGCTGTCTTCCCAGTGACCTTATGAACTGACAGATGGGATAGCAGTTCACAGTTTCATACTTTGCTTTTCCTATCATGGATATTGAGGGGTGAGGGGAGAGAATGAGCTTCTCAAATGAATCTGAAGAGATGTGAGGGACAACACACTGAAAGCCATTTAGATGCACAGAGAGTACAACCAGATATCACAAAAAACCCCCCAGACCCAAGTTCCTCAAAGCTATCCCAACATTTTTTAATCTCCCACACATGGGAAGTCTGCATTTTGCTGTGATTCTCTGGTCAGAATTCTTTAGTCACTGTCTTTCTCAAATTACTCTGCACAGCAGCACTGCCCCTCAGGACTGCCAGGCGCTGCTTGCTGGTTTTTGAACCAGGCACCATGAAGAAGCTGGAGCTGCAAATTTCAGAAGATTCAGTTTTCTCCTCTGACTTTGGCAATCTGGTCTCTGTCAACTCCACATCTGCTGCAGGGAGGTGGCAGCAAGCCTTCCATAGCTCCAGCTTGCTTTCAGGCCATTGACCTTAAAGAAATGGGGTTGCCTACCAATTGTGGTATCAGGGGTTATATAAATATGTAAAACTTGAGGAAATACAGGAGAGGCACTTGCTAGAGATGACACACTAAAGTTATGTTAAAAATCAAACTATTTTTCATGCTGCTAAGAAGTAAATCCTTTTTTCCATGAAAGACCAGAGGAAATTTGCTAGATTACTACTAGGAATATAAATGCATTTTTAGAGAAAACCAGGTATCAATCCCAGAAGCCATTCCCCATTTTACCCTTGGACATCTGCCTAATCCAGCAGCCAGCCTGGGCTGATAGCCAGTGCTCTTCCATTACAGGCGGAGCAATCTCAACAACAGCTAGGAAACCAAGTGTAGCAAGTGCAGGACTAACAAAGTGACAGGCCCTGTTAGCTAAGATTTATTGAATGAAACAATACACTGCTGATGGCTCGTAATTCAAAGCCCCGAAACCCATTTAGATTTGATTGTCAGAATGGGCTGGAAACGTCCAGTCTAATTTTATCACTTACGTCCCCAGCAGAATCTCTGATCCTCTGTTTTTAACCAAAACTGTCTAAGAGGCTTTGTTCACTGCTTTACCTTAATTTTGAAAACTTGAAATGAGTTTGGCACTGGCATGAAGACTGAAGCTAACAGTTTGATTGCTGCCACCACCTCTTATTTCCTCTAGGAATCGGAGCACATCTATCTATAGCCTGTGGGGGAGTTCTCCACATTGCCCCTTGGTTAACTTCCCCATGGAAAGGACATTGAAAAGCAGAGTCTAAATACAGGGGTTTGAGCTGAGAGCTGCAGTAAGCACAAAGAGCATTCCCTACAGGGGTGTTTTACCACACTGTCTTTGGGACATCTCTGCACTTTTGGTTCAGAGACACTGGAGCTGGGTTGGTATATGGCCAGAGATGTCAAGAGCATGGAGCAGACACACAGTTGCTTCCAATATTTGAAGTCTTAAATAGTAACCTGAAAATGCACTGTTTGCTTGCATTCTACAATCAAAGGTAAATTGCAAATATATCTTTTTAGTCTATAAGTCAAGGTAAACTACTGAGCATGCAGAGCAGCTCAGCTCTATGGCTTGGTTGGAGGTAAAAATGTAAACTCTGCCTTGAACTCCTGATGCCGGGCTGCAGAAATGAAGTTTCTGATCACAAGGCTCCACTGCTATTCTCTGAGCTGCACTAACACTGGCCCAGTTCTCAAAACACAGAGACATAGGCAGTGCTTGTAGAAATATGAAATACATGAGCCTGAAAGACACATGCTTCCAGAAGAGCTGATAGTTTAAAACAGTTTAGAAGAACTGATAGTTTAGAAACTGCATCTAGAGCGAAAACTCCTCATGTTTAAGTAGAAGGAAGGGAAAGTCCTGGAGTCCCTGGCTAAGGATCCATCTCCATAGCTGCCAGAAGCACTTCTGGAATTGGAGGCATCACTCAGGCATGAGGTCTCCAATATCTGTAACAGGACACGGATTGGATTGAATGGGAAACAATAAAGTCCAAGTCAGCCACAGACTCCTTGTTTAATACAAGGAAGATGAAAAGCTTAGGTATCTAGGAGGAGGTAGAGCTCTCAAGTCTACCCCCAACTCCCCTACCAAAACCTCCAGGGCAAGCTGCCAAGGCATTAAGCCCCACTGCCAGGAAGGTGGGAACTCAAGCTAATAAGAAATGGGACAGTTTTTCAATAAAATATCTTGCTAAAACTAGGACACGTCTGCAGTTTTGCAGAGAATGCTGAATCAGCACAAAACATCCTTGCAAGGGAAATTTCTCCCCAGACCACTGGCACACTTAGTAAATCCTAGGCAGTTAGTCGAGGAGACATGGAGATGTAACACACTTTTAAAAGGCAAAGTAAAACCAAGAAATTAAAACCATTTGGGATTAGTACTGCTCTAAAGAATGAGTTCGTACTGTCTCTGCTCCCAAATTAGAGCGTTGCTTTAAGCACCACAGCTAAACTCATTATGTATTCTTACCAGAAATATGCTATTAATATCAGATGCAAACAGATAGCCTTGTCCTGCACAACAAACAGTTTGGCTTTCTCCATTTTAAAATATTAATTCCTCTGTAATGCCGAAAATTTTAAGAGTTTTAAAGCATTTTTTTTTTTAGTGTGTCATGAAAAAGGCAATATGACTAATCAGAAACAGCAAAAACAGAAACAAGATTAAGATATTGCAATTCAATTTCCTAGAAAATAATGTGCCACCAGCTGTGTAAACTTTCTCGTAGCTAAAACAAATATTCTGAAAACAAGTGGGCAGCTGATTTACACTGTAGCATGTCTCCTCAGCAGTCAGGCCTCCCAGGGAACCTCTCGAGCTGTCTCCTAGACTGTACAAGAGCTTTAAAGATAGCCATACAACAAACTTATCTGATAAACAGAACTCTGAGTGATCTTTAATTTTTACGTTCAGCTCATTAACTCTGAGCTCCTGCTGACACACCCAGTTACTCCTGCCTCACACACTATACGGCCCCTGGACACAACAAATAACCAGCACAGCGTGCACTTATTCTTCTGGCATACCAGACAAGACACATGCAGACTCCAGCAGCTGGACTCTGGTTTTCCCTCCTACAGAGAGAGGCCTACCTGCTGATTCCAGTGACAGGCACTGTGCATTCTGTAGAGTTTCCTCTTCTGGAAACTATGAAGCGGCCTTGTACGGGCAGATGTGCTCACATTAGTTACAGAGACAGATCTTAGTCTTTTCTTGATGTGCTGATGATCCAGCAACCAGCTGCTCGAAGAGGATACCTCTCTGTTGTCTGAAGCTCTGCAATTTCATGATTAATGGGGGGAAGAAATACAAAAAGTTAAATATGTTCCACATGCAGAGGCCAAGACTTCACACACTGATTAGCATTAGCTATCTAATTCTAAGAAATTTTATAAGCACTAAAATGTTTTAGCACAGTGTTTCATGAAACAGTGTATGTGCTTTGCTTGTTGATGAATTCTATGGTCAGGAAAGGAAGTTTATTTTTCTTGTTCACCTTTCTGCTCGTGGAAACAAATGTCAAAATGAAGCCCTCAAGCATATAGTGGGGTTTGGTTTTTCCAAATTCAAGAACTCTCTAACACTTTTAACATCTATGAGTTTTAAGTTACAATTAATATTTCCCTTCAAACTGACATTCCACTCAAGACAGGAGACCTAGAGTCCTGCCCTAATACTTTCAAGATTTTTTAGTTTTGGTCAAGAACTGAAACCTAAGCAAAGCTTTACAAACCAGTGACCATTCAGCATAGGGGTTGAAACTCACTGTAAAGCACTTGTATCAAAATCAGGAACTCTACACGCTCTGTGTGGAGTCAAAGTCAAGTGCAAAGACGTGGCCAAGAGCAATAGAAAACCTTTCACTGATATGAGGAACAACCTCAGACCACTCTCACCAATCTACAGCCAGTCTGCTCACCAAAACACATAACTGTTCCACAAGGCAAGAATTCAAAACACTCCCCCAGTTGGGTAGGGGAAGACTGGACTTCCCTGTTATAGGTATTCCTGAATTCATTGTGTTGCTGTAGGAACACCTGCCTGCAAAGTTGAAGGCTTGCTGCAAAAAGCACTCAAGTGTGCATTTATTGTTACAAAACTTAGAAATTTGATAACAACTCTAAACTGCCCGAGCAGTGCAAGTATAAAAGATATTTTGGCCTTGGTTCATGACAGGTCATCTATCTGCACAAATTATTATTTTGTCTTATGACAAGTCACAGTTTTATTAGTAGAACTGTAACACAACAAAACATGAAAAGTAATTAATTACAAGGCCACTTACACATCTTTTTTGACAAATGGTATTCTTCTAACAGTACATTTTTATTAAACAGAAGGGCTTATTATGGAAATGTGATTAAGCACCATCCCGTGCTGTGCTGGTGTGGCAACAAGGCTTTATGGGCTTGAATTTGAGCTGTCCTTCTGACACATCAGAACAATCTAATAAGCAACACAGACTCATGAAAAAAATGTGCTAATTAACAGAGGAATGGTACAAAGTATTTAAAGGAAGGTATCAGTAAGTGCCAAGAAAAAGAGCAAAATACTGAAGTGTGACATTCTTAATGTTAACACTGCATTTTTACAGCTTAAGAAATACAAGGTTTACAGCCCATGCAATAGATTTCTTAAAATACTTTCTCTGAATTCTCAAAACCATTTTTTAATTATCCACCTTGTAGTCAGATGGTCCCAAGCCCAACTTCTAGACTTCCACATGAGAGACAACTTGGACAGGTAAATTAGAACAAAAAGCTCCTCAGTCTGGCTCCTCAACTTCTGTGATTCCTGTCTTTTTTCTGGTGGTCTGCCCAAGTCTCTGCAGTCTCTGCCAACTGCTCTACAAACGCTCCTGTGCCTTGCAGCAATGCACAGCTCCATTTTCAGAGCAGAGATCTCAGCTCCATGGCCTGGAGCTCCAGTAAAGAGCAGTGTGGTTTTCCTGTCACCTGTGTAAACAGGCTTCCCAATCAAGGTTTGAGTTGCCCATTTAGTTTGATCTTAGTTTTGGTGGTTTTCAAAATGTGATTCTACAGTAGAGCACTGCCAACTGAGAAAGTCATGACATTTCTGGGAACACTCCCTTCAGAGCTCACATGTTGGCCTTTCTGGCTCTTGACCTTACTTCCAGGTGCACGCCTGAACACAGAGACACCAGACAGGCACTGTTTGCACTGAAGTAATGAACTTTTTCCTTCCTCTCCCCTCATAACAAAGCAGCTATCACTAGCTTAGGAAACTGCTTCTATGAGCATCTACCTCCATGCAATGCATCTGGCTAATGTTGGCACTTAGATTCAATTGAGCAAAGAAAAGCTACATAGAGAAATGAAGGCACTGATGTAATTAAACATTGACCAATGGCAATTCAAGGTTACCCACATTCAGTCAACCAGGAAATGTTCATGCACCTCCACTTCCGCTGGGAACAGTCCAAACCCCCTGATTACCAACCCCAAAGAACTTCATGCTTAGACCTACCTGAAACATGCACTACTGTGTTTTTCACATCAACAGCCTACAACTAATTTCAAGAATTTACTTCAATAAAAATCGCTTTCATCCATTCTTTCCCCCCTCAAAATAAAAAAAAAAACCAACCCTTTCCATTTGATTTTGATTCCTACTTTCTGAAGTACTGAATACAGTGAGAGTGAGCTCTAAAAAAAGCAAAGGGAGATGCAGCCAAGAATTAAGTTAACTGCAGCTTTTAATTGTCTCCATTGATTGAACATAAAGCTACTACAACAAAATACCTCAAAAAATTTGAAACACATTCAAAAAACCCCCAAGAAGTAGGAGGGAGCGAATTTCCCTGCAAGATTCTCATGATAACCACCCTGTATCATGTTTAATTACCATCTTTAATGAACAGTATTTATTTGCAGATTTCTAAACACTTCATAGGCATTGAAAAGTTAAAATTACCCATTTAGCTCATCTAGAAAGCTCTCAAGTCTCTCAGATCCCCTTCCAACAGCTAACTCGTCAAATTCCAGTTCAGAGCTACAGCACTGAGAAAATCTTCCAAGTCCTAACATTCTCTGGGCTTTTTATAGGTCATGAGTAGAAAACAACCAGCCTTAGAGAGAGTGGTCCATGAGCAAACAACTGTTACTTATGAAATGGAAAGAAGACTGATTTTGGACAGTGCCTAATAAATCAGAAGAGAATTGGTTTGAAGTGACATCATTAGAGTCTCTCATCAAGAAGTCAACTTCATAGGCTTCTAGAAACATTTTTAAAAGGAACTATTCCTCAGCTGTCTCATGAAAAAGTCACAGATTGAAGACACAGACTAAATTACTCTCTTCTTTCACATACTCATCTCTATTAGGAACTCCTATTTCAGGGCTATTTTTACTTCAAAACTCTGAGGAATCTTTTGATTTTCCTCCACATTATCTGTAAACAACTGATACATCAGGAGCATGGATATTACACGACAGGACCCCCTTCATCCTTATATTTAGGGCAGAGTCACAAAATTGCTGTGGAACAGACGGCAGCTAAAGAAGGTGCCCATCCAAGCTGCTCATTATAATCCCTTTGTGGGAGGCTACAGCCTCTGCAGCAAAGCTGCTGACACAGACGGTGTGGCCAGCTCTCCTTGGAGCCGGGAGCCAGGGAATTACATTGTGCTGCACACTGCCATAAACACCACAGCTCGAGCTGGGAACAGTTTCTTCATCCACCTGATCTTAATTAAGACCTGTGAATACCAGCAACCCCTCCATCCTCAAAAATCACATTACCAGTATCAGGAAAAATATCCAGCGTACCCAAGTCTTTTGTAAGATAGAACTGTAGTCAATCACCTTAAAGCTGTTTTGAGACTAATACTTATTACAGCCTGTACTGTACTTACAATCTCTGAATAAAGGATGGAATTACTTTGAGTAAAAGATGGACTACTACTGAGAAACATTCTTCTACAATATTAATTTCAAGCTACAGTCATCCTGGAAGGTATGTCCATTCAGAACAAAAGACCTCAAATGGGAAATAGTATCTCCAGATTCCTGAAAATGTAGGTGGCAAAGACAAATTTGGCCTTCTATTGAAGACTGATGTGCTTAAAATTAATGGCACTTGCCACCCTGACACTGACCCATGCTGGGACACAGGAGACATTGCTTATGTACTCTCCCAATCTAGTTTGTCACTTTTCCAGAAATAAAGCTGTACTCGCTATGACAGAAGGCATTAAGTCTCAATCACAAGCAGTGTGTTGCTGTACTCTTTCATTACTTCACAAATACATTCATCTTCCCAGTGGCTGCAGTTACAGTGGCTGCATACTTTTATGATGTCTCAAAGAACAACACAAAAACCTACTACTTTCAAACTTATAAACAAGACTTGACTTCTCTTGAAGCTTACAGAAAGCAGCTCTCTTTTCCTGATTTAATACTGTAATGATTTTTAGTTCCATCTACATAACTTTAACAAAGGTTATTCTCAAAAAAAAAAGGAGAATTACACTGTCACCTACCTGAAGGAGATGCCATTGACCAGCTGTCTGTGCCTGCAGATCTTGGAGGAAAGAGATGAAGAAGCTGGAGACAGATTGAGTGGAGCGATTAGGCTGCTGATGATTTCACTCAGTTGTGCACTCTGGAAATAAAAATTAAAAAAAAAAAATGTAGTCAGACTTTTATCCAGACTCAACAGCTCAAAGGCCCTGGGGTTTTGTTGATTTCCTGCACAGGATTCCAGTCATATACATCATGGAATAATCACATTTAGTTTCTTCTTGTGAATAATCAACTGTTGCATGGTTTTTCTTTCACAATTATTATGTTCAACTACACCAGAAAAACCAGGAAAACACCAACGTAACCCTGACAACCTGCCAAAGACATTGTTTATACATTTGAGTAAGTAGCACACAAAACACATTAGCAATCTTACTACTGAAACCAAAGGTTTTTTAAAGGGAAAAAGAAACCAGAACACTGCACAGCTGATGTTACAACAGCTGCAGCCAGAGCTGGTAACTGGCCATTTGACAAGCATTTCACCAGGGGGGAAACAAGGTCAACTGTCTATTCATTGTACATTTTGTTCACTCAAAGTATTTTTCTTCTTAAAAGAATCCTCTTCATTGCTCACTGTACTTTGACAAAGGTGTTTTTACAAAGGGAGTGTAACTACAGAAGGACTATTATAACCACAGATAAAATGAATAAAATATTCTGGTATCCTCAAAAATAGCAACAAGAAGACCCCCAAAAACATCAAGACCCGGACTTTCAGAACTGCCCCAAAACAAATGCAGCCAACTTGTTAAGACTAAGAGCTACTGCTTGCAAAGCAATGAATTGTGGACTGACACCAGATAACATTTCGCAATGATGTTTTTGTTTCAGAAGTCAGACCTTAAAGGCAGACAAAAAACATAGTTTTCTTAGAGGAAACTGTGTTTTGCATACTAAACAGAAATTAAATGTATCTGAAATTGCATACTTCTTTTTTAAAAAAACTTTTACATTACTTTGTTGGATTTTCATTCAGAACTAAGAATGTTTAAAACATGCATTGCTAAAGGTTACCCAGTAAGCCTTCCTCACATTTTCATTTTACATTTACATTTCACATTTCTGCAGAAAGGGGAAGAAAAACTTTTTTTCCATTTTATTACAGCTCACATATTTTCTGTTCACGTTCAAATGATGCGATCGGGTGAAAATTTCACATCAGAATAAAATGCTCAGGGATGGATATTGAAGCACAGAAACAGCAAGTCAATTACAAAAGGTCTGGACAAAGCAAACGAGATGCCAGTAAAATATTTAGCAGATTGATTTAAAAATCTCAACAAAATTCAATCTGTAAGGAGAAAAGTCTCTATGACATATAAAAGCACAAAAACAACGGCAGACTTCCAAAACACAAGGAAAAACATACATGTTTTTTAGAAAACTTGGAAAGCTCTGAAAAGGACTTGAAAACAGTATTAATAAAAATTTCCAGCCTCAGTCACTTCCATTCTATACGAGGGTTGTTTTTGTTCACAAGTAAAATTATTTTTAACACAGAAATATCTTAACAACAGACTGAAGAATCCTGTGGGAATATCTGTGGATGTACTTCAGCCTACAGCATTGTTGCTCCCAATACTGAACAAGAAGAAACTCAGACCCTCAGATTTAAGGCTGATTTACAGAACTGGTAGTCAAAAAGGAAATCAAACCCCAGAGCCTTCTGTGGTGTAAAGGGAAAAAATCTGATGTGATCTGTGACATGCGTTAAATGAAAAACACCTTTAATTCCAAGTAATTTTCAGATCATCAAAGTTCTTGGACCAAGTTTGTAGCTACTTGGGGACCAGGAAACACATCACTACGACTTTAATTGTCAAATGCCTTACTGAAAAGTGTGTTTAATTCCCCAAGCAACCACTTAAAAAGGGGCAATTTACCACTTTCTAAAAATGCTCTTTGGTTTACCTTATGCAATTGCTGGCACTGAGCATATAAATTTCCTGTTTCATTGCTTCCCCACTCCTGCCTGTGGTGGATAAGATCTATCAAACAGGGGAAGCATTTTAAGAGCAAGAAAGTATGATTATCAAATAAGAAAAATTGGCACAGAGATTCACTAGTACCTAAAGCTACTTTTATCCCATTGAAAAAAACACGTGGATAACAAGGAATTTATGTGGAGCAGAAGAGCAACATATTGATGCCCCACAGTGGCTTTGTCATCTTTGCTTTACACAAACTGCATACATTCATTCTGAAAACAAATTTCCTGTACCTCCTTCAGCAATGTGATCCTATCACGTTCTTTATGTACTTTCAAGCAAAAGAAAACCCTGCTGGAGTCTACATCATATTCCCTGGAATTAACCTTGGAAGCTTTTAAAAACAACGAAGCAGAACCCCCCTCACTACTACGCCTCCGCTATGCCTGTTAAGTACCTGGAATTCCTCAGCTTGGAACCTGATTCCCGTGCTGCCTGAGGAGGCAGATCAACAACCACATTCTGCTGGTTTTTTTTTTTTATTTCAAGTGCAATGTATCTCCACTGTCAGCTGTGTGAGTATTTCCTGAAACAACCTGTGGCAACTCTGCACTGACCCTAACTACAAAGCAGAGGCAGGTTTGTGGATGGCTCTTGGAGTTGTTATGTGGCCGCTTGAATGGAATCAAAGCGGTGACACAGACACATCAGAAATAAAAGGCTAATTTGTAAATCTGGTGTACAATGTAGTTATTTAAGCCCTTCGATTCATCAGCACCCCCTCTCAGGACTGCAAAATATCTTCCCTTTTGGAAGTCATCACCATGGAACCTGCCCTATTTCTGCAGTCAATCATTTGGCTCCACTGACCGTTCCATTCTGTTTTACTTTACCTGTTTTTCTATGTTTCGTAAGAGCAGAGTAGGACTGCTGGGTGACATTTCAAAGTCATGCTCCGGCAAAGAATCCTGTCTCTCAACGGCAGCTTGCGAATTCCCTGTGGCGTTTAATAAAGCTTCTTGGTCTGTCAATTGTATTTGCTTCTTCAGAATGTCTTTTGGAAATGGGAATTCTTCTAAGATCACCATCCCCTAGACAACAGCAATTGAACACAGTTGGTTGACAACAGATTAACCTTCCTAAATCACTTTTAAGGGGCAGTCAAACCTGGCACGTCCCTCTTAAATCCTCCCAATGACTTTGGAACACTTAAACTAGATTTTAAAAACATTTAACAGCTAAAATATAGAAATAGTAGGCATTTTCCTTAATGAAAAGCTGTATCACTTTTGCTATTCCTTACAGAAGCAATCACTCCAGTGTTATACCACTGTTTAAACATCTGTGCCAAAATTCAAATCAGAAATTCATACTTATTAGAGTATTATATGATCCTTTGCCACTGATTTAAGATAGCTTCTCTGTAAGAAACAACCTCCCTTTGATCTGAAGTTGGTTTTACTCTTTGCAGTCAATAAATTTTGCAGAGGTATTTTAAAGTGCTCTATTTCTCTTATTCCTATCCATGTTTTAAGTAAAACATCAAGGCAGTTATTTTTTATGTAGTGGAGATTATGCCATTCAAAACAAAAGCCTTTTACAATTTAATAATTTTCTTTAAGGTGAGATTTTTTAGAGTTTCATAATTAGAGGTAACTATCCTAAACATTCTACCAATCTCATTACTTTTCAAGGCCATCTGCACAAATGTGGTATCAGACGTGGTGTAACATCTAGAATGCCACCTAACAAAATAAATATAACTTTACTTGGTAAGGAAATAATGGAGATTCAGAAATGGAACTAGGAAAATAACACCCCTATTGAGTTTTCCACATGGCAGAGTAGAAAAATAGAAGTGTCAAGTACAATCCTAGGTAATGTTTCAGTTGGTTTGTTTTAAAAATTTAAAATGTTAGACAACATACAAGCAAAAATAACTTTGTAACAGTCAAACCCAGTCCTCAAATAGTCCCTTAATTTGCCATTATATTGAGTAAATAAATTTATTACTCAGAAAAGGCTATCAAACCTCTCTTTTTCCCAAGAGAAAGAAAGTACTTGCTTTAAAGTACTGTTACTCAAATATCAAGCAGATATTGAAGGAATGGGACCATTCAATTACATTGCCTCAAATTTGTCTTTCTAATAAGAATATTCCACTAAACCCAAGGAGCAAGGAAGACTGTCATAATGTAAACAAAAGGAAGCCCTATTATTATTTCTTTAAGCAAGACAGACCTCACCTAAGTTGTGGCTGTGGAAAACTAAGGATCCTGTAGCTCTACTCAGACTTTGACTCCTGCCTCAGCAGCCACTTGCCTTAAAACATGAAAGCAAATCTCAAAGAAACTTCAAAGGGCAGACCAGGAGAAAACATGAAATTGTCCTGTTCTCACCATGTCTCTAACTCATTCCCTTGTTTGAGTTATAAATTCAAAGCCTCAAACAAAGATATTCTCTAAAAACAAACAAAAGTGATTGAAAACTTGCTTTAACATCCAAAAGGGGCACAGAGATTCTGAATGTCCATCAAATCAATGCCAGATTTTCCACACAGGTGGTTTTCCATTTCCAGCAGATGGACAGAAATCCAGACAGAATTATACCATGGGTAGTGTGTTCAAGGAAATTCAAGTAGAGATCTAATTTTTGTTTGCCCCAACAGGAGGACAAGGTACCTTAATAGCTTTAGACTCCGTTAGAATTTAGAATCTTTAGGTCTTTTTAGTAAAACAATGACAGGTCATGACCACAGAGAGTCTAGAAAGTCTAAAACCCAAATTCTGAGGTCAGAGGAACAGGAAGACACACATGAAAAGTGGTGAAAAGAGGGATGCGCACACACACATGCTTCCAACGGAATTTTATTTTTTGAAGTTGCAGAAACCTGTTTACCAAGCAAGGAAAGAGAAAAGCCAAAAAGGAAGGGGAAAAAAGACAGACTGTATGGAAAGGGAGAGATGGAATAGGCACAGAAGAGGAAGAGTAAAGAATTAGAAGTCTAATATGGACTATATGGGAATTATAAGTTAAGTGGGTTACAACCAGCAGGCTTTGGCAATGACTGCCCTTCCTCCCAAATGGAACTGTTTTGCAGATATAAGGACTCAAAGATCCAGGGCTGCTACTTCTGTGTGTGTAGAGGTGGAGAAAACACAATGTAGTAGGCCAGGAAACAGCCCACAATTTACTCATCTCCCTTCCTGTTGCGTTATAGTGTTCCAGGAGTGGCATTTTGCTTGAAATCATTGTTCACTGGCTCTGAATCACATTTTTTTCCACTCAAAACACATGAAAAACACTCTGAAACCATTAAACACAGCGTACAAATTCTAATGATATTCTGTAACTCCTTTGCAGCCACTAAAGGAAAACAAAGAGCTCTTCTATCAGCCCACTTGTCCTTCTCTAGCTGCTGCATTGGTGTATTGTAAACATGTACACGAAAAAGTCCCATCTGAAGAAAATAGGTGCCTTCTTTCATCATGGGACACAATGCCAAACACTGAATATCACAGCTGGTAAAAGGGGCATGAAGTTTGCAAAAAGGAATGTTCCTAAAAATCTCCACCAGGAGGATGACTAGGCTCCAAGCCAACGTACCACCTAATGTGAAGAAAATGCTTGACTAAAAGAATGTTCTTCCTCTTATTCCTCTGATATTTATTTCTCCATCTCCTGTAGCTCATCAGATCTATGACATCCTAAAGGCTGACAGCTTTTGGGTGTAAGAGTATGCCTGTTTCTGGTATTTAGGGCTACACTAAAACATGGGCATTCTCACCCACTACCAAAGTACAAAATCTCCTTTCAGTTCTGTGGGCACACACTGTCCCAACAAAGGCTTTCCAATTCTTTGGTAAAGAAAAATCTGACTGGGGAAAAGTTGGATATGAAAAGAAAGGCTTTGAGGGCGAAAGGAGAAGAGGGAATAATTTTTCTTTATGTGTTTAGAGGGAATTGATCTCTGGGGTGATTCACCTCTCCTTTTAAACTCCTTTTCAGTCTCATGTTTAGCCACACCAAGTCTGAAGCATCTTCTGGCTACTCTCAATCTGTGCTTATCTGACCTCAACACAGACCAGACAACCTACATGAGGCTCATCAATGGCGAGTTAAAGCACTCTCTTCTAAAACCCCTCACTATCACATCACCAGAATTATCACAGGTTTGGCTTCTTGTACATGAGAATGACCTGAGGAACCCATTAAATAGATAGCTAGGATTACTAATGTTTTAGGAATGTCACTTTCCCACTGTCTAGCCAGTTCGACTTACAAAAACTAGTACATGAGTTACACACATTGGAATTTTAGTAATAATTAATCCTTGACCCGTTCAAAACGCTGTACAAACATTAACTAGCTAATCCTCAGAATAAACATGCACTGCAAGTAACAAAAAACCCACCCTGGAAAGCCCACAACACAAAAATGAATAACCAGCCATCACACCTGAAAACCAAATCTCGCCTCTTCTGCAGGGGGAAAAACTAGTGTGATAAATGAGTACTTTGTGCTGGGCCCCTGAAAGCCACAAGTCACTAACTCTCTTAAACAGGAAGGTACAAGTTCCCAAGTCCCAGTCCCATACGAGTGCCTTTAGGGTACAACACTTTTTAGCTCCTGATGTCTTTCCCATGAACTTTGCATGCAATAGCCTGCACAGACACAAGAAGTCTAGGGCAAAACAAACAACAAGAAGGAACCCAATAAATAAACACTACAAAAAAATGATCAAAAGATGATTTGAAATGCCCATTGATGAGCTTACAGACAATACCTTGGTGGCACGTATCTGCCTGTGAAGGTCAGTTAGTTGTTGGATTTTGTATTCTAGTTCTGAAATCTGGGCTTGAAGCCACGTCCAACGGCTGCCAATTCTAGCTCTGTCTGCAAGCCACTTCCATTCAGAAGTATAGCTGCTGTGAAGACAAAATGCTGGTTAGTCCAAAAATAAAGATAACCACATTTGCACAAGAACATTTTTGACAGCTGCTCTGCCTCATGTTGCAAGCATCTCAGTTGCTTTCAGAAAATATCTGACTATACCCATCCAGTTTCACATCAGCTTATTCCTGTAGCAACAGAACTTGCCCAAACCAGTAGAATTCATGTTCATTGGCTACTCCCAGACTAAGCTAGTTTTCTGCTCAGGATTATAAAACTCAGAGCTGGATAAACTACCAAACTGTATCAGTTAAGGCTGAATACAGATGTGTAAGGAATCCCAGTAATTCCATCAGCAAGAATCCAAACTCTTACACCACACTCCCTCCCACAAGCTTTCACAAACACTGTTTGCTAACAACTGGAATCTAATAAAACACCATCTAGCAATGACCAGCTAGATATCAGGTCACTGCCCAAAAACTCCAGCTAAGTAGTTTAGATTTCTTTTATTCAAGCTATTTTATAAATACAGCGGTGTCAGTTTAGTATAGTCAGGTCACTATTACTGTTGATTAAAATAGGTGTATTTTGTAACACAAAAAATATGCTTCCTGGTACTTGATATTGTGATTAGCTTAATTTTATGATGCTGAATTCATCACTGGTATCAGCAAACATTACTCAATTTACCTATTAAACAAATGAGTGGTAACACTCAACAAACAATCTTAATATTCAATAAATTTAAGCAAGAGAAAGACAATGCAGTATTTTAGCATACAACTTCCACTACTATCCTACTATTATCTGAGTTTATTAATTTACAGAAAATGACTAGTGTTTTTTTTCCCAACTGAAGCTGACAAGTAGCTAAAAGAACTGTACAAACAAAATCAAATTTCTGGGAAATAAGGGCTTTTACTCAAGTTATTGGGAAAACTACTGGATCTAAATCCTGGATGACACTGTACTTAAGTTCTGCACAGGCAAAATACATGATCTCCTGTTCCCCAGGCAGGGAGGAGCACTGAAGTATCACAAAAGATACCAAAAAAAAAAGCAGATGCCAGTGAATTGGTGCAGGAACATCACAGAAGTGTAATTGTTTCATGCAAAATTTTGTGTCAACTACCTCAACAATGAAAGAAAGATAATACAGCACCCTGGGAAGATGGTAGACATGTCCTGGCATGAGTAAAGAAATGCCAAATGTGAGAATCCTAATATTTTCAGAGCAAAGACTATGAAATACAATATGACTCAAAATTTCAGAACTTGCAGTCTCCTTAAGCTATCATAAATAGTAAGAATAGACAGTATATCACCTCTAAAATACAAAATGTCTTCCTTTTAGATAGGACATTGAAATGTCCTATCTAAAGCCAAATTCTATGTGGAAGTAATGTGGACTATCATCAAAAAGAAATTCAAAGAACTCTATTTTCTCCTAGGAAAAAAAAGGCATATGAAGTCATCTTGTGAATATCTATTTTTCTGACAACCCCTTTTTATTTCTCTTTGTTTTCCCATTATTATCAGCAAAAATAGTCCTGGTGACTTATGCTTTAACCAGGTCTTCTGAACAAGAACTTCTCTGGGATTGACAGCTTCTGCATGTATGTGCTCCTGGAATTCATAAAATACACTCTGCAGGGAAAGGGAGGGAATCTGCATTCCTAGTTTTCAATCAAATGTGTTCACACAAGTGTGGTGGCTGGAACAGCTAGGATTTGTCTTAGGACCCTGGGCTGGCAAAAAGCTAGGTCTAAGAAAGAGCTGCTTAATGAGGCTGTTATAAATCCCTCAGTTAATCATTTTATCAAAAAAAGTTAAAGAGGAATAAAGAGGATAACTGAAAAAAAAAAACAACAGGTTGGGTTGAGGTGCTTATTTCTGCTCCTTTCTAAAAAAGCCAACCAAACAAATGAACTATGAAACCCCACAAATCAGGACATTGTAATAAGAAAGCCCAGGAAAAAGGAAATAAATCACAATGACATTTCCCTCCCAAGCCAGATGAAACAGTCTGGGGAGAAAGGTGAGCTACCCTCAAACAAATTGAGGCAGAAAGCAAATGAGGAAAAAAAGAAAAGTGCCCTGTACACAGCTGGGAAACCGGAAGCAGAATGGAAAGGGCCAGAGCTGGTCTTATGTCCCCTACACTGCATGAAATCACCATGGCATAAGGGAATCCATAAGCAACACCCAACCACAGCTGATAGAACCAGGACAGTTAAATGTTAAGACAAATAAATTATATCCTCTGTATATTACTGTCTTACATATAAAACAATAAACTTCTGCAAAGCTACGTCACCAGTTATTTTTCAAAAATGAGTTTGCATTTTTTCTTTAAACACAATATTAAATCTTGAATTAATTGATTGCATTCACTCTTAAATACCTTACGTACATTTTTGCTTTGTTCTAAAATACAAGTATTTCTTAAGGCTTTAAACTGTACTATATAACTAACAGGATTTACTTACACCATGTAACAATGTCCTTAGACCCCACTCTAAGGAAAAGCTTCCACTGAACTAAGCACAAACATTTTAAGCTCAGGCTTGGCCTGAGCAATTTTAGCTTCTCTCTCCTGTCAGCCCAGGCTGCCCCATGGCCATTGCCTGCATGAGGACTTGGGCAGCTCCACGGTGACACGGATTAGAGAGCTGCTCCTCAGTAATTTCAAATTCAGAGGCAGGGAGAAGGGAGCAAGTTTAGGTCTAGATCCCTTTCCCAGTTTTAATGCCTTGCAGACAGGATAAGAGGCAAGACCACTGCTGAACTCTGTTCCCATTCCTGTCACTCATATTTGTTTGATCTTGCATTATTTATTTACCATTTTTTCTTCTAAGTCTATTTCTCTACAAATTATTTAGTAAAGCTTCCTCAGAGGAAGATAAAATCACTATAAGCTATGCTCACATTCCTGAAGTGAACTGTTTGCATGCAAAGTAGTATGGTCACTTGAGTGACAAATTACAACCTACTATTGTAAATTAAAAAAAAAAATCATTAAAACTCGCCCATAATCTGTTCCTGGGATGCTAGAGAGTAAAGCTCAACATTCACTCAGTAAAGAAAGCTGTTTCAAGGTGGCTCCAGATAATTCATTAATTCTGCAAATCCAGAGAAGAAAAAAAAAAAAAACAAACCAAAAAACAATCACAAAGAGTTACAAAAATAACCAGGCCTGTTACTGAAGGAGGAAGTCCGAGCAGGTGCTGAAGTAGAAGCTCCTGCTCTGGTTCTCTGTTGAGAATGAGAAAAGAATAAAGAAGTTTCTGTCTGTCCCACTTCCTGTGTGCTCCTTTTGCAAAGCATCTCTACTTTGTTTCTGCCCTTTCGACTCTAACATCAAACATCATCCACAGGAATTCCAACGTCATTCTTCCGCTGGCAACTCGATACAAACCATGTTACACTCACAAAGTTTCTCCTGATCAGTACTGTAGCACAGTGGAATATTAAATCTGCACGTAAACTTACTGGTCTTGGAATGCCTGAATGTGCAGATGATCTCCTGCATTCATCCAGGACTATTAGAATTGGAAGAGAACAGACAATAAGCCTGAAAACAGTTCATAAATGATGAAGGAGAAACACAGTGGTGTTTAAAACGCAAAAAAACCCAGAGAACCTGGGATTGATAGTGAGTATCCAGCACGGTTGACTCAAATAGGTATGGTGAGCACAGGAAAGAGTACTCTGGAGTGCCCACAGCAAGATTCTCCACAAGTATCTTATATCCTGAAAATTAAAAGGAAACTAAGGCCTTTCAGCCTTGTCACTCCCAGTGTGAACAAGTAACGTGCCCTAACGTGACACACGTCTGCACGGACAATGACAGGATGCTTCCTGCTAAACAGGAAAAGAGCGTGCTTGCAACAGACCCACATCAAAACTCCAAAAACTACGTTTGCCAACCCAAAACATAGTCTCCTTCCAAAAGGTTTCAAAGAACACCAACATTTTCAAGTTACAACATTCTTAAACATGAACAAGCCGGAGACTAAGGCACCTATGTAGTGTGGGTGGGAAAAAAAAGTCTCCAATTCCAAAATTCTGCAATTAAAGTAAGAACGGTAGTTGTTCCTGACAACCCCTCACACTTACATTTCCATTCAGTCTCTTCACAGAGTAAATGCTGCTCTTTCTGCCAGGTGATGTTCCCTTCAGTTAATCCACATTTTTCTGGCATCCAGTTTTCAGATAATTTAGTCCTAAAGTGACCTCTACCATCCCTGCTGGTTCATCTTCTCCTCTCACTGGGAACTCCTGGGCTATCAGAGGCCAACTGCCAATCACACAGCAGTGAAGTATTTGGGAGCAAGAAGCAGCTCATAAACCACAGAAAGACTACCCTCAGGATAAAGAGGAGGGAGTTTTCACTGCTGGGAGTCAGTGAAAACAACAGCAGAAGTTTATCATTTTTGTAAAGGATTGATTTCTGGAAACTGAAAAGCAAAAAAAAAATCAGAAGTTTCTCCAGTTTTTAAATCCCACCATATGACTCACCATGAAATTCATGAGACTTAAAACACCGGAAAAAATCATACGTCCCCCAGTTCTCCTGGGAAGCTCACTCGGTTGTACAAAACCACAAAATAGTTCATACTGTCCACATGGCACTCTGTCACAAATGCTCCACCACTAGTATGGTGGGGGGCCCTCCAGGACTGGAGTTGAAAGACTGTGAACTTCCTGAGCTGCCCCTAATTTTACATTAGCATTACAGTCAGTTTTCCTGTGACTACACATGGTAATGCTTAAAAAGCAGCTGGCCTGAATACAAGTATTTTCTTGCAAGCCATTAAGGTGAGCAAAGGGCTTCTGATACTTTCTGTCAACATGCCCACGAAATTCAACATGTCCATTTTTCTTCTCTCTACAGACACCGACAGTAAATAAGAGATTACCTATGAAGACTAGATGACACTAAATGAAACATTTAAATTAGCTGAATTCACATATGTAGTGCTTGTATTTTAGATAATTTTATCTCTATTTTATTTATGAGATAAAAGTG